GACAACGATTTTCGACCCCCGAAGAAGCGGTTGATGCATTCAAAACGCATGTTTCGGAGTTACCTCAATCGGACTGGAAAAAGTGCTTTGAAAATTGGTTCAAACGCATGCAAAAGTGTATCCATCATGGAGAATATTTTGAAAAACAATAAAACCAATTTCGATCCTACATATTTGTTTTTTCAAAATTAGGCCAGAAATAAATAGCAACCCTCGTATAGCGCTGATTTCAGAGACAAAAAATTTTTCGCAAAAATTTAAAGAACCTTTTTATAAGCAAATATTTAAAGAAAAATTCAAAACTTAAAATCAAACATGTTTTTTCTTTTTAAGAAAATGAAGAAAACGTTAGAACTTTTTATTGTATCAACTTTGCGTTGACATATGCTTAACTATACATTTCAGAATTAGACATTAAACAAAAATGACAATTGCATGTGCTCATTTCATAATTGCTCATACAAATTATAATACTATGTTCTTACATATTATCTTCTTCACTCTTATACGCGATATTCTTACCGTAGGTCTCATCAGAAATTAGGAACAGTGTTGAAAAATATTTTCCGGACAACAGTGTTCGTGTGATAGCCGAGCCCGGATGTTACTTTGTTGGTTCCGCTCAAAGAAATGTGACATGCATACTTGGAAAAAGGTCTGTCAAAAAGCACCTACATCCAATGAACAAAGATAAAAATGGTAATTCAAACAATATTAAATTTTATATTTTGACAGCTATAAAAATATATAAATTTTTAATTATTGCAGCATTAACTAACCGCCTTCAGCAACAAACTAGTTTCTTTTAAATGCCTAGTTCAGTTTAATTTTTAGAAATCAAAGTGAAAATAAATTTTTCTTAATTATTTCTTTATTTTGTTGATATTTTTTTTATAGAAACCGAGAATGATGAAATAAAAAGGCAGTACTTCATAAATGATGGATATTATACCTCTTTCTTTAGGCAATTTGAGCTTTACGATATTTATGCCAGACCTTTCTTAGTAAGTTTGAATTTTTTTGTTAACATTTTTCAATTTAAAGAATTTTTATTATCAGAAGTTCAATTTAAATTTTGCTTATATAATTCATCCTAAAACGTAAAGAGATTTTAGTGGGGGAAAATCATTGCTACAAAACACATCCCTTTTTAATATGTATTTTAATGAATGAGGAATTAATACTAATAAAAATCTAATTTAACTCGGAAAAATCATTGTTTATAAAAATAAAGAACAGAGCGTGATTACGTCGACAACCAAGTAGCAAATTGCTAGTTTAAAAAAGAATTAATTTCAGAAAACGCAGATGCAAAAATTGCTAATAATATCTAATGGGCTGGATTTTTAATAGTTTTTTCTTCTTTCTCATCTGAATTTTCAAATTCTGATATTTTTAATCTGATATTATTACGACACGTGAATACCCAATAAAATATATTACTTCTTAATGCTCTCGATTAACGATGATGCCATCCTTAATCCTTATCTTTTCCCGATCATTTTTTTTCTATCATTACTTATCATTTTTTCTACGATCTCCATATGATTTTTCAAATTCGGTATTTTCAAAACGGTAAGTGACACCCGAAGTTCGAATTTGAGTAATCACTTTTTGATGCGAATGATTCACTGCTCTTCCGTCGTTACTTTCTGTCTGTTTTTTGGCAGTTATCTTAACTATTTTTCATTTTTACACGGTTATCCAAATTCCGATATTTTTATTAGGATGTTGATACAACACGTGAATGTCAAATTTGAGTAATAATTTTTTGACGTACTCAATTCGCGACGATTTCGTCGTAAATCCACCTCGTTCTCCAAGCGTTCCTTGGGAGTTGTTTATCGAATTTTTAGCCTTTTCAGCATGGTTAATTACATTTCGATTTTTTAATTAAATATTTTGACACACGGATATAGAATTTCACGTGTTTGTGTATCTGTGATCATCGTCTTCTCGTGTTATTGGATAGCAATCTGTAATTTTTTTTCATTCTTATATAGAAACAAGAAGAAGTGAAGAAAAGACCAATTTATAAAAGCACAATATGGGGCCAAACTTGTTGCTGTGAAGATTATGTAATTAAAGAATGTTCCCTTCCTGAATTAAATGATGGTGAATATCTAGTATGGGAAAATATGGGTGCATACACTTTAGCTCTGGCCTCTCAATTTACGATTGTTCCGATTCCACAAGCCAAGAGAGTATTTATTAAAAATTCAAGGTAAAAAAATTTTTAGTTTTTGTTTTTAAGTATATCATTAATTAAAACTTATATTATGAGCTAAGAGACTGATCCGGTACTTGATTAGAAACTTCATTCCCTTCAAAAATATAAGAATTAGAAATGTCAGTCGACAAGTTTCAAGCGCTGAAAAACAGACGCCCATTTTCAAGCCTTGCCAGACATGACTGAAAAGAAACGAAAGTGGTCTGAAATATATAACTTATAGTTGCCAATGAAAACTGGAAAAATAAAGGTAAGAAAAATAACTGGAAAACCACAGTAGCCAGAGGAAAAAAAGATTAAAAGCAGAACAAGAAAAACCACAGTAGCCGAGAGGGGCAAAGCGAAGTAAAATGCATTTCCAGAGCTCAAGAAATCACTCTGGTTTTCTCTCATTGACATCTGACAAGTTTTGAAAACGGGTGTCTATTTTTGAATGCTTAAAACATGTCAACAGTTATTTCCAGAGCCGTGGTGACTCAGGGGATAGACTGTTCCGGGTTCGAATCCCAGCAATGTATGGTCGAAACAAATTTCTCACCTGGCTTGCACAGACCACAGTGCTTATGTATAATATCCTCAGTGGTAGACGGATCATGGCTAATCGGGGGAAGTTTTCGTGGTTTTCCTCTCCATGTAACACAAATGCAGGCTAGTTCCACGAAGGTAAATTTTCTCTATACTTGATCCAGAAGTTCCCTTGTCTTCTGGATTGGGTTCAAATTTACAAGGTTACGGATTTAAACATTAGTAGTTGTTAACCCTATATTTAGTATATATATTTAGATTACTATATTTAGATTTCATACACTGGATATATTTTAAAGCTGATCCTGTCTAAGAAAAGAACCAGATCGTATAAATAGCTTATTTATAAATAGTATGAGTAATCATTTAAATTATTATAATAAATATTAGCATTAACTCGAAAATTTGTAAATAGTACTTCAATTGCTCATTAACGACATCCCTGTCTTAGAATTCACAGCTTTCTTAATTAAGAAAAATTGTGCATAATTAATATTTGATCCCACCATTCCTTTGTCTCGCTTAATATAATACAACCATTTCTCTTATTATTTCCAGACTGAATCTGGATTGGATTGAAAACCTGGAAGAAGTAACAGATTTCCTTGGAAACAACGTAGTTCTTATAGAAAGTGAAAAAGTCCCTTCATAAAATTTCAAGATTTTTCGTAGCTTTAAAATTCTTCAAATTTTTCAAACAACAGTTTTAATCATAATAAATATCTCTTATATAAAAAGAACTAGGCTGTGTTTCTTATTAAGCATAAATATCAGCATGAAATAAATAATTCCAAGATACTAAAGCAGAAAGGAATAGGTTGTTGTTGTTGTTGTTGTTGTTGTTGATTTACGTCGCACTAGAGCTGCACAATGGGCTATTGGCGACGGTCTGGGAAACATCCCTGAGGATGATCCGAAGACATGCCATCACAATTTTGATCCTCTGCAGAGGGGATGGCACCCCCGCTTCGGTAGCCCAACGACCTGCGCGCGAAGTCGAGCACTTTACGGTAGCACAGTTTAACGAGGACCAATACCGCACACCCTCGGTCCCTACGCAGACTGATCCAAGTGGGTCACCCACCCGCACACTGACCGCAGCCAGTGATGCTTGACTTCGGTGATCTGATGAGAACCGTGTCTTAACGATCAGTCCACTGCGGGACCAGAAAGGAATAGGAAAAACTTCATAAGCTTAAAGCATGTTTCATAGCCCTGATTTTCCTCTTTCGGTCACTGTCGCAACCCTCGGCTACCGAAGTTTTTCATGTTTTGTTTTTCTCATCTTTTTTTTTCAGGTGCTTTTATACCGTTTTCCCTTCTCAGTTTTATTATCTTTATGAAATAGATTTATTTCTACTCTGTTTTCTCTGGCAAAGTTTTATTCTTCTTTTCGGCTTTTAGTTCTGCTTTTTGTAGAAAATATATTAAGAAAGCGATGTTAATCATTTTTCGATTCCAGCTTTCATCGATCTTTAGAAACGCATTAAAGTGAACTGCACGTAATGGTGGGAGCCTCTTAAATGCTTCGTTTTCTATATTAACATTTTTCTCAATAGAAAACTGTATCATAGATACAAAAACCGATGCAAATTATAGTAATTTTATTTATATTACTGGCGATATATTTATAATAATTTTTTTTTTATTTATTATGTGTCTATTTCATTAATAACTCTTTTTTTTTTAAAAAAAATGCAAGTTTCCCCCAAAAAAACAGTAATAATTTAACTGAAAATCAATAATCTGAAGAATATGTAAGCAACTACTGTTAATTCCATAGAGCATACGATTAATATTTTTTTCCCTAATAATAAGAGTATTTGGTAAGAATATTTGGCAAATTTGTCTTAAAAGTAAGATCTTTATGCTACAATTAACAAGTGCGACGACTCATTAAATAAAAAAAAATCTTGGGGTGCTCTGTTGCTTACATGAACCTTAATTATCCGCTTTACAGGTTTTATATATATATATANTATATAGTATATACATTATAAAAATGTTTAATGAATTTGTTTATTTTTAGGAATTTATTGCGTAATTATGTTTAAAGGAAATTATATTTATTTTTAAGAATTGAAAAAACTGACGACTTGAAGCAATGATTTTAATAATAAAAGTACTTCACTTGACGCTTTTCAAAAGCTAATTTTTTTTTTTTCTTTTGAAAACAAATTTCTTTTTATTCAAACGTTAATGTAACCTTTCGAAGATTTCTTATAAACGATGACAAGGATCTTGACCAATAACTTTTGATCAATTTTTTATGGTCACACAAATTTAAGTAAGTTTGTTGATTATATATATTATTACATTAGCATGCATGATATCTTTTTCTCATAAGTACATGAGATAAAAAAAATATTTTTTTTAGCTTATTGACAGGATACTTAGTAGAGATTTGATGCTCGAAATTTTATTTAAGCAGGCAAATATTTATTTTTTGATCAAAAAAACTAACTACTTAAGTTCTAACAAATTATCCAAAATCTAATTTTTAAAGTCACCCAAATTAAAAAATTATGTGTGTTAGCCGATTTTTCACTGGAAAAAAAAGGGTAAAGAAATGTGGGAAATTCTAATTTCTTTTTCAAAGTTTCTGTGTTTAATAAAATTTAATTTTTCGATGCCAACTTTTAAAATTACACCTTCTTGTATATTTTATGCATTTAATTTTACAATAATGAAGCAAAAATACAATAGAATGTAAGCCTTCAAACTAAATTTTATAATTGCATGCAAATTCACTTTTTTAATAAATTAAGAATTTTATTTTATAAGGATTAAATTCAGAGAGTATTCGGAACATTTCAAGAACCACGAATTTAGAATCATTAGTCACATGAAATGCAATTTTAATGCTATCAGCATTAGCTTTAGAGTAATCAAAGGAATTTGATAGTTATGTCCATTAAAAGTAGTTAGTGATCCAGTCTACGGAAGAAATGTAAATAAAAAACTTTAGAGACATGAACCAAAGGCAAATGTTATCAAAGAAAAAGGCAGGCAGATCATAAATAATGTAAATAGTTAAAAACAAACTTAACGATCTCTTACTCACTGTATTTTATTGAAATAAGTAATAATATTCTTCGTGAAGATATAATTCCAGTAGACAAATTAATTGAGGAAAAAAATAATGTAATAATAGTAATTTCTCCCTGAAAATGGGGATTTTTGAGTAATATATTCCTCAGTGCAGTTGTTAGGCAACATAAGTATCTTTCACCTTTTAAACTATAATATGGCAGGAAGGGATTCAAATAAAAATAAAAAAATTAAAAAAAAAAATCTTTTAGAAAATAAAAAATTCTCTTAAGTTTCCAATATCCAAAGTTTTCAGCAAAAAAATATTTTTTTTTTGGGGTTTTTTATGGTAATTTTAAATTCCCTGAATAATCAAGCTTCCTCTTGAGGCATATGAATCCAGCAACATTTTCTGAAATTACAGAGGATTTAATTACTGGTAATTGGACAAGAATTTTAATTGTATTTAGCTAATAAATGTGGGTATCTAATTCAATAGTATACACAATCATCACCTTGAATTTATAACCACACCAATCTACATTTATATTCGTGATGATAAGCAAACTGTCGCAGCACGAGATCTTCTCAAAATCTTCCCATCTGTCATGATCATCAGACAAATTTTAATGAGCAAAAGAGAGCAGAATTCTCGATTTCTGTCAAAGAACTTTATAATATGCAATTCATTTTGAATAAAATTAATAAGTTGATAAATTAGGCATAGAATGAACACACAGTTATAAATTAAATCAGACAAAAACAAGTCTATTATACAGACAAACTTTATTTCAAAACTATTTACAAATATAGAAGTAATGATTTTCTTTTAGTAAAAATATCACACTTGATAAGTTGAAGATGAAAATCATATTAACAAAATTAATATGAGATTGAATTACATTTTTAAATAAAAAAAAATCTCTTATTGTAAGAGGAAAAAAAATCTACACCAAGAAAATCACAGATTCTGAATGATTTACATTAATAAATCCCGGATTCTGAATGATTTACATTAATAAAGAACTCGCTGAGAATTAATTTAAACTCTTTTTATAATGTAACTAGAGAATTCAATAATAAAATGAATGCCTCAAATGCTCAAAAACATTTTTAAGCAATTTCTGAATTATAAAAATACATAATAAACTTAATGTACAAAAAAAGCTGAGTAAAGATTTTATTTATGACATTTTAAATAAGAAATTTTCCCACATTTTCTTTTTGCAGTTCACTTTTGAAAGAACAATTAATAAGGTGAATCTCAAAAATGCAATCTCACACAATAGGTAGAGATAAAAACCTAAGAGATGCAAACCAAGCGCACCTAGTAATTCAGATCTATGATTTACAATTACTTATTGGCCCATAAGCAGAATACTTTTAAATGATCTGCAACAGGACTTATTAATTTATACAAATGTTCTGCAAGCATTTCACAGCAAAAAAAAAGTCAACTTTACGCTAAAATACTATATTTTCATGTATTAAAATACAGGATCATACACAGATGCACTACATTATTTTTTAAACCAAGGCAAATATTCTTGATTTGTTACTATCAATCACTTTTGAAGTATAAAATTTTGTTGATGATGATGATGAATTATTAATAAAATGCCTATGATATGAAGGTCCGAACATTAAAATAAGGGTTGCCTAAAAATTCTTTCGAAGGGACAAGGGCCTAGATGGTGCACCATTTGCAAACACAAACATTCGCTGGTCTGTTGTTCCAACAACTCCTCCATCGAAAACATTTGGTCTTTTAGAAACAATTCCGTCAATCGTGGATCCCCACGATTCACAAATTGCTTCTGAAATGGGTATGGAAAATATAAAAATCATAAACTTTATGAAATTGGAAATTTAATTCTTTTACAGCTTGCTTTAGAAGCTATCTTGATAAAAAATAGTGATCGATTTCTCCTGCTGTCTGTTAAAAACTGATACAGCCATTTTATAAAAATGTTATAGCCAAAAGCTAATTCATTCATTTCCTCCGCAGAATGGCAAAAATATGAAAGAGGGAGATTACTGATAAATGTGCTGAAAATTGTTCAGGGTTTTTTCGCTAATCAAATTGTATTTTACAGTTTTCCCAGGATGTTGTCTCAGGTAATTGATTCTTAAATTTTTCAAAATAATATGCGCATCGCATTCAAAGTAAGCAACTCTATCACACTCACCTGCAGACATTTTACTGAAGTTTGTATTAGCAGGCGTTTCAAGTTGTGATACATTGTGCTGGTGACCAGTTCAGATGTTCCTATAGTTACAAAAGTCAGTGGGAAAGTGTCCTATCCTTATCTATTCATTGCTTGAAAAGAAAGTGGGGGTAATGGACGAGGTGGGAGGAAATGTTCTGCAAGATCATCAGGGGAAGCTTTTAAAACTTTAGGTCATTATGGTCTGCAGAAGAATGTACGAGATTAGGGTAGGAGATTGTTCCGCAAGACTACCGGAGGCAGTTGGGCGGGTAAGGGGGGTTCACATGAAAACGCTGTCACTTATTCAAGATACAAATTGTTCTGCAGGACTTAGTTTGTTCTGCGATGTACATCACAGTTTTAAGCACTTTCTGCGTCTGGGCTTATTGGTTTAAAGAAATCTTTGGATTTTTGTATTATTGATTAAATGCTTAGCCATATACATTAACGTTATTATTTATTTACAGGTGAATATTTGATAAAATATTTTTAGACTCTTTAAACAATTTTATTGATTTCAACACCAGACATAAACTTGGAAACAAACGCTAAATTATTCTTCTTAGCAAGTTCTTTCATTACAACAATTTGATTTTCAGAGCATCCAGAAGAGGAAGTTAATTCTTTTTCATGAGATTCCATGAATTCACTTATTTGCTGCATCACTCCGTTGAGAACAAGCCAAAGCATATTTAGAATATCTTTTTTCCCACTCATAATGCTGTTTTTGTTTCTGTTTTAGTTTAGTTATAGCTTCATTTATGCTTTTATCAAATGGTTTCTCTTCTTTTGCTAGGCTTAGGTAATGTTTGGCTCTTTCGTAATCACTAATCATAAGTAAAGCATATCCCTTTCCATACAAACCTTTGGGATTTTTGGGTTGTATTCTGAGAGCTAAATCAGCATAAATGATAGCTTTATTAGGAGTTTGAATAGTAATATAGGATTGTGTGAGATTCAAATACAATTTTAGCAAATAGACATTCCGCTTTTCGTCTTCTTCTTCATTAGCCACATTAACATCTTGGAGCATGTTAGCAGCTTTACGATACCGGGCAATAGCTTGTTTACACAGTCCCTTTCGGAAGAGATCATTGGCCATGTTATGCTCACAACGGTACACAGCAACAACTTTTTCAAATGACATCTTCTTCCGCTCTTCTGGTGCAATGTCCTCAAACTCTATAGCATCTTTGCTATCGTAGAAGTTCAATACTTCAACCTCATACAATATCTCGGCTGAAGGAGGGATTCGAGGGGGACAGCCCATGGTACCATAAGCATAGTCAGGACTGACTAAAAACCTTGACATTTCATCTTTCTTCATTGTTTTGATGGATAATTCTAAGCCAGGTAAAAGGTTATTGTCGCCAAATCTAAAATCAAGGCGGATAATTCAGTAAAGTAATATCATAATTTGATAGTTCATTAAGAGGGGGAAAAGATAAAAATTGATTCAATTTTTAAAATAAAATATCTTAATAAACAGCAATTAAAATCTGTATTTTCTTATGGTTATGTTAAAGAAGTAATATAACAGGTCAAAATTAATAAATATATGCAATACCATTTAATTTTTGAGGTAGGTAAGTACTTACAAAAACTTATAAGGTCTTTTTCTCAAACGTGTAGAATCAAATGGCTCTTCTTGATTTTCTAAATAAGCATCATAATGCATCATCACCACAGATTTATCAGGAATGAGTATGCCTGATCCACGTTTCATAACCTAAAATGAACAATAACATCTAAATAACACACAGGATTAAAAAATTAGAACACAACTGAAAATAAAACTGTGCATCTCAGTACTTATGGAAACGCTGTGAACGAACCTTCTAGAGTTTCATTCTAATATTCAGAATCACTTTTTTTACTAGTTAGTAAAAAAAAGATAAAAGTAATTCTGAAAATAAATTATAAATTGGTAATACTAAAAGAAGCACAACCATACGAACATTAACTAAACTTTAAAAGCTCCAGTTAAAAACGAAATATATTTGACCTAGCCAATATCTCTTGCCAGGAATTAGAAATTTATTTAACAGGTCATATTACTTAATAGTGTAAAAGTTCAGAACAGTTAAAACTAAATCTACAAGAACAGAATCTTAAGTAAATCAAAACATGCAAAAACCATCTTTTAATAAAGTGATTGAAGTCATGTTATAAATTCAAGCTTATTGAAGAGCATAAATTTTAAAAGTGAAGGGGGAAAAGGTGTGCATTTTCTTCTATGACTATTTACCTTAACTTTGTCTTTCTCAAGTTTTGAAAAAATTCTGCATAAAAATAACTAACTGTATCAGAGCTCATTCTAGGCAGGGTAAACAGGGCGCAGCACCCTGCTGCCCTTTTAATCAAAAGAATCCACCCTCTTGCCCCTGAAGTAAATTAGTGCCCTGATGTAATAGACTCCAAACCCTTTTTACCCTTTCTTTCCTCAACACTTATTTATTTTTTCCCAAACTCTACAATGGATTTCTTAAACTTTTGTTATTTTAAACTCTTTTTATTTAGTTTGTCATTGCTGTCAATACATAGATTTATAAGGGAAAGGAGAAATAGCCATCACACCCCCTTGTTGCACTTGTCTTTGAAAGTTTGCAGTTACTTCCACTATCATTAAATCATGATTATTATTAATCATTTTAATTATTAAATCATAACTACAGACACTTAAAAACATACATTTATTTTTTTATTAATATATGCATGCATTTTAAATAAATTACTAAACTAATTAGCTCATTAACTCGATTTATATGTTAATTTATTTAAAAAAATGGGTATTTAATATGATTGCTTTGCTACTTTTAGTAAAGTTAAAAAAAATACTTTTACTAATTGACAATGTTTTTTAATAGAATGTGTAAAGCCCATACAAATTATTGCCTTTTTAGAATAATAATGCCCTTTTTTAAACTTTTGCACCCTGCCCTTTTTTCTGCCTAGAATGAGCTCTGCTGTATCAGCTGGTCCTCCTCCCCTCCCCTCCAAAAAGGCCTGATGATGTTGATCACAGTGTTTGGAGAAATTGAAAGGTCAGAGTTAAAAAAGAATGAAGCAGGGAGAGGTTGAATAAAAGACACAATGCAAAAGTGAACTGATTTATGATACAAAAAAAGTGGGAGCAGAATATTGATAAACATTCGGAAACTACTTTGTGTCCATGCTTTATAGTTCAGTCAGAATACATGTTTTTTTTCTTTTTTTACTGAAAATTGGCAGCCCAAGCAAATTGCCTAAATGACAAGATCTGAATGTGAAAAATAAATTTCTGATGTGTTCAATCACTATGAAAGTTACAAAAACTTTTCTAACCTCCAAAGAAAGCTTCCGAATCTTCAATTTAAAATTCTGCAAATCGAATAACAATACACAAGTACTTTAACCCTCACCTCCTCTGTTTTATTTTATTTATTTATTTATTTTATATAAGAGCAGAATTTACACTTACCCTATATTTCCTTCATTTTTGAAAAAATTAAATGCCTTGTTAAATGTCAGTGTTACATATTTAAAAGAACAGTTTGTACTATATTTTTTCGTAATATGAAGTTTTAATTTTGGTATTTTTATTGTTCCATTGAAATATAGGATAGCAACGGTTAATTTTTAAATAAGCATCCTCACATAAACACTTATATTTTTTCTTTAATTGCTTGGTTCAGATGGAGTTCAATGACCAATTAATTTACATGCTAATATACTAAAAATACTTATTATAAATAGAAGAGTAATGTTGATGGTATTTAATTTTTTTGTTTTTTTAAACTCTTTTGAACCAATAGCTTTCCTTGCTTTTGTTCAAAATTTAATATTAATTTGGCTACTTATTTTCAATCAAAGAGTACTTAAAATTATGAGAAAACCTAATTACTAATACTATGTTTCTATGGGCAAGTACAATTCAGTCTGATAGAACAGTATTTTATTTTTGACACACATTTGTTTTTTTATATGATAAAAAAAAAACAATTAAAAGAAGACGATTTGAATAAATTACATGACTTAAAATTGTTTTCAAAAAAAAAAATTTTTTGTGGCTTTTGTTGTTAGTTACTTTTTAATCAGTTGAAATAACCAAGCTAATATGACCAATTTTTATTTACTTCCAATATTTGTTTATTTAAATAATAATTAAAAAAATATTCAAAATAACGCACATGCAATTCAAAAAAAAATTATTCCTAAGAATTTTTGTTTCAACAGCTTGTCATGTTTCTGTTCAAAATTTAAGACACAGAATAACTTTTACTTTTTCGTAAATTGCCCACCTTATTAAATGATATAATGCAGAAAGAAATATTCAAAAATGTCTTTCTCTGTTCATAAATAGAAGAGATTTCCGTACCGTGATCTGTGGCAGATTAATTGAGAAATCTTGACAGCTTCCGGGCACAGGACCGCGAGAAACCGAAGAAAAAAAAACACAGTCATTGACCTATTCGAAAGGTATAACTCGTAGCCATCCCAGGGCAAATGTCCACATGTTTTTTTTGTTTTTTTTAACAGGTAAAATTCAGCTAATTAACATATTTACTTAAAATTGTATATTTATATATGTGTTAACATGGATAATTTGCTTTACAAGATTTCCCCTAGATTCCTTTTAATTGTGAAAACCCTATATTTTTTTGTGGCTTTCCTGCTAGGTCTGTAAGTGTTAACATGTTGGTTCATAAAATCAAATGTCCTCAGATTCAAGGAGATTTTAATAAACCTCAGGCATTATTTTTTAAAAATTATATTTAATAATAAAAAAAAATTTAATATCAAAATGTTTTCTCTACATGAGAGTGTATATATATATTAACAGGAAGTACAAGGGAAAATCTTTCAGCAAGGAGACAAATTTCATGCAATAATACGAAGATAATAAAAATAGGGATGAGAAATACATAAATCATACCTCTTTCAAAATCTTTTTATCACTGGTGACAGGTTCCATCCTTTCTTTGTAAACAGAAAAAGGTTCATAAGCTCCACTGAAGAGTTTTGGTTTGTATTCATTCTCAAGATCGGTAATTTCATCTTTAAATGTCTTAAATGTATCAGAATCAAAATATGATTCATTTTCTGATTCTGAGAACACTTCATCGTTATCAACTTGAAACTCAACACCCTTGCACAATTCGCTGAAAATATATAGAAAATTCAACAAATTAAAAATCTAACGTACTAAAAATAAAATATTTATGATTCAACAACAACTAAAAGTAAACATATTACTGAAATATTTGAAATTATTTAAGGCGTGGAAATATTTATTGAGACTTTTTTTAAGAGTCAAACTTGCAATCCTTTGTTAAAATAACGTTCAGGGATATTTCCATATGAGCACCTTTTCGCACCAGACGAAAATCTCGACGCAGCGTTAAATGATACAGACCAGTTGCTTCATTTAGAAAAAAACAAAATATGTTAAATGGCTTGCTCAAGGTAGTTGTGAGTTTTACCTGTCAAGTTTGCCCAATTTTTTTTCTGGATTTAACAGAGGCAGGGTGAAAAATATTTATTCACTTACACATAACCTGAAATTAAATTTTGATTTATATCAGAATAGAAACATAAAAAGATTTTACTCACTCTATTGTAATTTCTTTATCTAAAAAAAGCTTTTCCATCGTCGCTTTACGGATACAAACAGTTTCCCATATATGAATGAAAAAAAACACAGCGTTCTCCAAGGAAATACACAAACTGCAATGACTTACAGGTTACACTGAAGTGAACTAGTCAAGGAACCTCAGTTTCAAAAAATCAAGGAGGAGATCTAAGGAACTTTGGCATACAAAGATCTCTTATTCTGATGGCCAAGGAATAAAGGAATCATTGATGCGGAGAACTGATGCAACCAGTTTTAGATTTTACTTACTGTAGTGTAATTTACTTTTATAAAAAAAAAAATTCCATCCGTCGCTTTACGAATACAAACAGTTGTATATGAATGAGAGAAAAGAAATTCAAGGAAATACACAAATAATAAATGCAAATAATAATAAACTTTTAGTTTCGTGGTCTTGCGAAAAGTCAACCAACTGCTTTGAGCGGCTTACTTTTGTTCGGCTCATGGTCTGTTGTTCGCTTCTAAGTAATGGAGCACGGCCACATGACGTCACGAGCTTTACTTACAATCAATTGGGTGGCAAGCTTACTAAAATGTTAGTCTATGAGACTTTGATATCTTTTTTAAAAAAATTAGCTAATTAAACATTTTCTTCAGTTTTCAAAATAGTAATGGTCAATTTTCCTGCTGAGTACAGTTATTAAAAACTATTATGCAAGTTTCGTAAGTGATATTCTTCATATGAAAAAATTGATGAGTCTTATGGATTTCATATAAATTTTCATTTGCATGAAATCAGATCGATCTTTAGCTTAAAAAATAAAACATTTCTAACGAACAAAAAAAGCTGTATTTTTTTAGTGTAAATTGGTTATTCTATGGAAGTATGCTAAGACTCAGTTCTGTTCGTCATTATCGGATAAAATTGGATATATAAAGAAATGATGAAAAAAACTACTTTTTTCCTACTTAAATATTTTCATTTTATTGCTCTAAGAAACTTTCGGGAGTTTAAAAAATCAAGGAAGATAAGGAACATATTTGAAATTTTTAGCCAAGTAAGTGAATGGACCAGATTCAGGAACAGAAATTACGAATAAAATTTTTATTATATTTCTCTGTTATCCTATAGGCTTCATGTGCTTATCGTTGATAGTTGAGGTACCATAACCAATCTTCCAGGAATTTTTATTTGGAGTGTTGTAAAATATAGCAACCAGTGGTTCTGTCAGATTGTCTATGCTTGGCTTAATGCGACGGTACCATTCAGCAGGAAAAAGAAATCTAGCATATTTAAAGCGTGATGCAATATTTTTTTTTCTCTTTTTTTTTTACAATTTTTTGAAACTGTAATTTTATGCTAAAGTGAGAAATAAAAGTAAATATGAAAAAAGAAAAACATCTACACATTCTTGTCCTTTTCTTAAAGTAGTATCTCATGGTCATATTTTAAAGGTCACTAAATAATAAAAGGTGTCCATTTTAAAGTGTTGTGTAAGTGACACCACTCGGAAATTCCGTAGAGTGAAATATTAATCTCATAAATTCCTATCAACTTGAAAGAAAAAACTACATTGAAGCATTTGCATATGGAAATAAAATCCTTTTTATCACTTCTATATAGAATGTAAAGTTGATATAAAATGAACTTGATGTATTTGTAATATTCAAAATATTGTTCACAACAATGTTCTGAAAAAAAAAATTTCCTAACAAGACTTTTGATAATAAAATAATTTCTGTTTTTCATTTTTCCTAACTTTCTTTATTTGAATTACTTAATATTACAGCAATTTAATTTATTTACAAAATAAAAATACGTAGCCGGAAAAAATTATACAGAAAAAAAAGCATTTTTTTTCTCATCAAAAGTTTAGTTAAGTATTAAAAATTGGTAGACAAAAAATAAGACAAACATTACAAAAATTAAATAATTTTTGTATAAATTATTGATACAATATTTGTAAAGATGTGAAGCAAAGTTTATTTCAGCAATTTATGAAGAATCTTGTACTGAAATCATGAAATAATATAAATATTAAAATAATGCATATATATAACACAGTTGTTGTTGCAGTTGCAGTTCATTTACGTCGCACTACAGCTGCACAATGGGCTATTGGCGACGGTCTGGGAAACATCCCTGAGGATGATCCGAAGACATGCCACCATAATTTCGATCCTCTGCAAAGGGGATGGCACCCCTGCTTCGGTACCCCGACAACCAGCACGTGAAGTCGAGTACTTTAAGGTAGAACAGTTTAACGAGGACCAACACCGCACACCCTCGGTCTCTACGCAGACTGATCCAATTGGTCACCCACCCGTACACTGACCGCAGCCAGTGATGCTTTACTTCGGTGAAAATAACAATAAAATGAGGTATGAAACAAAAACTAGATACAGAAAAAAAGTGCGCGTACGCTAGCCAAGAAACAGGCTTGTTGTTGCATGCGGTGTGAAAGTACTTGCAATCACTTGCAATAGACACACTGCAACAGAGGAGAAAAATCGTGTTTCGCATCACTGTTGCGTTCGGTGTGTTGACACCTTAAGAGAGTTTCGTCTCTCTTTACATTGTTTATTATGATTCATATAAGATATAGTTGTTATATTTTTGGCTTTAATTTTAATAAATTTTACTTTTATTATACAAAATACCTTAATAGCAATGTGTATTTGTATAAATATCATCAAATACCTTACATTTCAAAGATGTGCCGCCTGGAAGTTTATCAACAAAAACAAAGTAAATATTACGCAAAATAAAAAAAAAGAAATTGGTCATTATTTTACTCTTTTTATGATGCAGGTGATATACTTAATCTACCTTATTAACATCTAAAGTAGAAAATCAACAACTATTTCTTTTATGAGTCATAATAAACAACATCTCTAAGGAGAGACAGAACTCACTTACTAACCCATGAAAATCATCCTTTCTTTTTCATACAAAGAATGTCACAATTTGCACGAAACTTACTTAATAGTTTGTTATAACTAAACTCAACAGGAAAATTGACCGTTATTATTTTTAAAAAATTGAAGAAAATGTTTAATTTGTTCATTTTTCCCCAAGAGACATCAAAATCCCATAGACTTTCATTAGTAAGCTTGCCACCCAATTTATTGTAAGCAATATTCGTGACCTCACGCGCCTGTGTCCCATTAAATAGAAAGGGACAACAAATCATGAACAAAAACAAGCCGCCAAAAGCATCTGGTGGTTGTTCTAGGATTTTTCGCAAGAGTGGTGAAACAAAGTTTATAATTATTTGCATTTATTATTTGTATATTTCCTTGGATTTCTTTTCTCTAATTCATATACAACTGTTTGCATTTGTAAAGCGACGATGGAAAAACTTTTTTTAAATAAAGAAATTACACTAGAGTAAGTAAAATCTTTTTATGTTCCTATTCTGACATAAATTAAAATTTAATATTTCCACACTGTTCTGAAGTCGAACTTAACCCGCAACATCCTCCCCCACCAACAAAATAAATTTTAAACTTTTATTTTTTTTTGTTTAGCAACAATTTCTGATTATAAAGAAATTTTTAACTCTTAATGTCCTAATGTAAAAATGTTTTATAGTTCTCAAGTCCAGTTTATTTGGTATTTTTATCTTTCTTCCATAACGAGTAATATTCTCCCATATTCCTTAACGATTTCTGAACGAGTTCAAGGTGGAGACATCTATAAACTGCGCAAGTAAAAAGAGCTATCCATGCTTTCTTACCATTCCTGAGATATAATGGTCCAGCGTAATCGATGCCCGATAATCTTTAATAATTTCAAATATTTCAGAAATATGTTTACTTTTAGTTGTTTAAATGTAAGTTGAATTACAAAGATTTTATTTCTTGTACGGTAGATTTTTATTTTGTTGGAATTCTCTATATATTTTCAGCGAATTGAGCAAGGGTATTGAGTTTCAAGTTGATAACGATGAAGTCTACTCAGATTCGGAAAATGAATCATATTTTGATGATGATACATTTAAGACATTTAAAGATGAAATTGCCAATCTTGAAAATGAATATAAACCAAAACTCTTGAGTGGAGCTAATGAACCTTTTTCTGTTTACAAAGAAAGGATGGAACCTGTCACCAGTGATAAAAAGATATTGAAAGAGGTAGGATTTATGTATTTCTCATCTGTTAGTTTTTAGATCCCTATTTTTATTAACATTATTTTTTCTTGTATTGCTGCATGAAATTTGTGTTCTTGCTCAGAATGATTTGCTGTTAAAAAATTATATCTGGACTTTCATATCGAAAAACATTTTGATAATAAGAAAATTTTATTGTTAAAAAAAAATTTATAAACCAACATGTTAACACTTAAGGAGTCCTAGCAGGAAAGCCATAAAAAATATTATATGATTTTTCACAAATAACCAAAAAATGTAGGAGAAATTTTAAAAATGACTGGTAGCTCTCAAATTGAATTACCCATGATTAACGCATATATGAATATACAATTTTAAGTAATTATGTTAATTAGCTGCATTTTACTTATCGTGATCTGTCCCTTCAACTACAATTGCTTAAGTGCCAAATAGATTTTAAACTTGCAATTTTTTTTTCAAAGAAAAAGCATGTTGACCTTTGCCCTAGGATGGCTACTAGTTATACCTTTCAAGTTTGTCTCTTTTTGTGTTCTTTTTTTTTTAGTTTCTCGCAGGTCACTGCCCGGAAGTTGTCAAAATTTGACGATTATTCTGCCACACATCAAGATACGGAAATATCCCCTATTTATTAACGAATAAAAACATTTTGAATATTTTTTTCTGCTTTACATCATTTGAAAAGGTAGGCTTTTACAGAAAAGTAAAGTTATTCAGTGTCTTAAATTTTGATTACAAAAGTAACAAGCTGTTGATACAAAAAAAAAAATTTAAATAAATAACTTACGAATCATTATTTTGAATTGCATATATGTTATATTGAATACTTTTTTATTTTATTTAAATAAACAGACATTGAAAATAGATTGTGGTTTCATGAAAATAAGTAAAAAATTATATAAGCTTGCTTATTTTAACTGAAAAAAAAGTAGCAAACCACACAAAATAAAAAAAATTTAAAAAATAAGCAACAAAAGCCACAAAAAAGATTTTAAAACAATTTTAAGTCATATATTTTATTTATATCATCTTATTTTAAATCATCTAAATAAACAAATATCAAAAAATAAAATATCGTTCTATGAAAATGGACTGTTCTTTGCTATGGAAACAAAGTAACAGTAATGAGGTTTTCTAATAATTTTAAGTACTCTTTGACTGAAAATAAGTGGCCAAATTAATTTTAAACAAAAGCAAGGAAAACTATTGGTTCGAAAAAGTTAAAAAGCAAATTAAAAACCATCAATATTACTCTATTTAAAATATATTTTTTTTTTATATCTTAGCATGTAAATTAATTGGTCATTGAACTCCATCTAAACCAAGCAATTAGTGAAATTAAGTTTTCATTTAAAAATTGGCCTTTGCTATACTACATTTCAAGGGAACAATGAAAATACCAAACTCAAATTTGTATAATATGAAAAAATATAGGACAAATTGTTTTTTTAAGTATATAACACTGAAAAGCATTCCCCCCCTTATTTTTAAAAAAAAATAAAGGAAATATGGAATAAGTGTAAAATCTGTTCTTAGATAATAAAAGAAATTAGGTGGGTATTTTTTTTTTTTTTTTTTTTTTTTTTTTTTTTTTTTTTTTTTTTTTTTTTTTTTTTTTTTTTTTTTTTTNAATTAACATGATGGCGTTTGCCCTAGGGTGGCTATGAGTTATACTTTTCAAGTTGGTTTCTTTCTGTTTTTTTTTTTTTTTAGTTTCTCATAGGGCACTGCTCGGAAGTTAGTAAGATTTGACGATTATTCTGCCACAGATCAAGATACGGAAGTCTCACCTATTTATCAACAAATAAAAGCGTTTTGAATATTGTTTCTGCATTACATCATTTAAAAAGGTGGGCTTTTAAAAAAAGTAAAAGTTATTCAGTCTCTTAGATTTTGATTACAAACATAACAAGCTGTTGATACAAAAAAAAAAATATTTACAAATCATTATTTTGATTTGCATATATGTTATTTTGTATACTTTTTTTTTATTTAAACAAACAGACATCGAAAATAGATTGTGGTTTCATGAAAATACGTAAAAAATGATAATATAAGCTTGCTTATTTTAACTGAAAAAAAAGTAGCAAACAAACAACACAAAAAATTTTTTTAAACGAAAGCTTGGGAGAAAGTTAAGGTTAATACTCATTAAAGAAAATGCATAATTTATTTTCATTCAATTTTAAAACTTATGCTCTTTAATAAGCTTGATTTTATAACACAACATCAATCATTTTATTAAAGGATGGCTTTTGTATGTTTTGATTTACTAAAGATTCTATTCTTGTAGATTTGGTTTTAAAAAGCACCTAAGTTTATAATCCAGTGGTTTTATAAGTAGGAAGGCTAACACCTAAGGAAAATAATGGGGTTAATGCTGAGTATGTTAAAGACAGGGCCCGACTTAGCCTAATTGGGGTCCGGGTCAAAAACTTCTTTACCTCTCTCCTTCTGCTTCACTACTTCAGTAATGATAAATTGAACTTTAAGGGGGTATTTAAATTTTTCACCTCATTATACATATATAACAAGAAAATTGACTAGAACTTAAAATAGCTATAAAGCCCCCTCCCGTTCAATGGTTTGTTGAAATATCGTTCTTTACATTTTATTGATTTTCCTACAATTCTATATCCATCATGCCGAATGCAGTTTTCTGATTGTTAACTTTGTCATCTAGCTACAAAAAATTCAGATCCTTGCTGACATTAGAGCGAAATTCAGCTAAGTTTTTGCAATTACGATGGCTCACTTAAGCCAATCAGAACCAGAAGCCTGTATTTTTGCGAACATATCGCATTTTGCGATTTATAAAAATACAGGTTTTTGATTGGCCACATTTCTCCAGAATAATTGTGAAAATTTAGTTGAGTTCCGCACTTGATAGCCATGGATTTATGAAATACCGATTTTTTGTGTTCATACGATAGATTAATGAAGGAGATGGCGTAAAACTGACGAATTTTACTCTGTGCTGATATTTTATGTAAAAAAAAGTTCATTAAGGAAGGGAACCTAAAATAAACCTTCAATTCTATTTGGGGGGGGGCCCTCTGATGTGGGGCACGGGGCAACTGCCCCGTATGCCCCTGCCTTTTTCTGGCTCTGGTTAAAGAACCATGCTTTCTAATTACTGGCAAGAGATTTTGGCATGGTCAAATATATTTCAAGGCCCGGCAAAGTCACATTTATTTCATTTTTAACTAGTGCTTAAGTTTAGTTAATGTTCATGTGGCTGTACTTCATTTTGTACTATTACTAATTTATTTCCAGAATCACTTTTATCTTTTAATTTATTTCCAGAATCACTTTTACCTTTTTTTTTACTCACTAGTAAAAATAGTGATTCTGACAATTTTTATCAATGAAGATTTTCTGAAAATTTGTATGGAATGTAACTCTAAAAAACATGGAAGATTCATCCACAATTTAGAAGTACTGAGCTGCGCAGTTTTATTTTCAGTTTTGTTCTTTTAATCCTGTGTGTTATCCTCATGTTATTGTTCATTTTAGGTTATGAAACATGGATCAGGCATACTCATTCCTAATAAATCTGTGGTGATGATGCATTATGATGCTTATTTAGAAAATCAAAAAGAGCCTTTTGATTCTACACGTTTGAGAAAAAGACCTTATAAGTTTTTGTAAGTACTTACCTACCTCGGAACTTAAATGGTATTGCATTTATTTATTAATTTTGACCAATTATATTACTTCTTTACTATAACCATAAAAATACAGATTTTAACTGCTGTTTATAAGGATATTTTATTTTAAAAATAGAATCAATTTTCATCTTTTCCGCCTCTTAATGAACTACCAAATTGTGATATTACTTTTCTGAATTATCTACCTTTCTTTTAGATTTGGGGACAATAACCTTTTACCTGGTTTGGAATTAGCCATCAAAACAATGAAGAAAGATGAAATGTCAAGATTTTTGGTCAGCCCTGACTATGCTTATGGTGCCATGGGCTGTCCCCCTCGAATCCCTCCGTCAGCCGAGATATTGTATGAGGTTGAAGTATTGAACTTCTATGATAGTAAAGATGCCATAGAGTTTGAGGACATGGCACCAGAAGACCAGAAGAAGGCGTCATTTGAAAAAGTTGTTGCTGTTTACCATTGTGAGCACAACATGGCTAATGATCTCTTCCATAAAAAACTGTATAAACAAGCTATTGCCCGGTATCGTAAAGCTGCTAACATGCTCCAAGAGGTTAATGTAGCTAATGAAGAAGAAGACGAAAAGCGGAATGGCTATTTGCTAAAATTGTATTTGAATCTCGCACAATGCTATATTAATATTCAAACTCCTAATAAAGCTGTCATTTATGCTGATTTAGCTCTCAAAATACAACCCAAAAATCCCAAAGGTTTGTTTAGAATGGGATGCGCTTTGCACATGATAAGTGATTACGAAAGAGCCGAACATTACCTAAGCCAAGCAAAAAAGGAGAAACCATTTGCTAAAAGCATAAATGAAGCTATAGCTAAACTAGAACAAAAACGGAATCAACATTATGAATGGGAAAAAAGATTTTCTAAATATGCTTTGGGTGGTTCTCAACAAAGTGATGCAGCGAAAGAACAAGTGTTGCCTGAAACGCAGGAGTTTGTTGACATTGTACTAGAGCAAATAAATGAATTCATGGAATCTGATGAAAAAGAATTAACTTTCTCTTCTGGATACACTGAAGATCAAATTGTTGTAATGAAAGAACTTGCTAAGAAGAATAATTTAGCATTTGTTTCCAAGATTATGGCTGGTGTTAAAATCAACAAAATTGTTAAAAGGGTCTAAAAATATTTTATCAAATATTCATCTGTAAATAAGAAATATCATTATTGTATATGGCTGAGCATTTAATCAATAATAGAGAAATCTAATGATTTGTTTTAAATCAATAAGTAATAATAAGTCAGATCTGAATTACTAGGTGCACTTGATTTGCATCTCTTAGGTTATTGTCTCTACCTATTGTGTGATATTGAATTATGTTCACAGTCAATCACCCCATTAATTTTTTTTAAAAGTGAACTATAAAAAAAAAATGTGGGGAAAAATTCTTATCTAAAATGTCATAAATAAAATCTTTACTCAACTTTTCTCTTTTTTTTTTTTTTTTTTTTTTGTGCAATGCAATACGCTTCATTTTTTTGAATTCTAGAAGTCTTTCTNAAAATCAAAAAAAAATGTGGGAAAATTTCTTATCTAAAATGTCATAAATAAAACCTTTACTCAACTTTTCTCCTTTTTTTTTTGTACATCAAGTTGGTTATGTATTTTAGTAATTCAGAAGTTGCTTAAAAATGTTTTTGAGCAATTGAGACATTCATTTTATTATTGAATTCTCAGTTACATTATTAAAAGAGTTTAAATAATTTTTCAGCGAGTTCTTTTATAATGTAAATCATTCAGAATCGGGGATTTTCTTGGTGTGAAATTTTTTTCTTTCTCTTACAATAAAAGATTTGTTTTATTTTAAAATGTAATTCAATCTCATATTAATTTTGTTCATATAATTTTCATCTTCAACCTATCAAGTGTGATATTTTTACTAAAAGAAAATGACTACTTATATTTGTAAATAGTTTTGAAATAAAGGTTGTCTGTATAATAGACTTGTTTTAGTCTGATTTAATTTATAACTATGTGTTAATTCTATGCATAATTTATCAACATCTTAATTTTAAGCAAAATGAATTGTGTATTATGAAGTTCTTTGGCAGAAATCAAGAATTCTGCTCTCTTTTGCTCATTAAAATTAGTCTTATGATCATCATCACAGGTAGGAAGATTTTGAGAGAATCTCGTGTTGCGACAGTTTGTTTATCGTCGCAATCTCTACTAACTATCCTGTCGATAACCTTTTTTTCATCTCACCCATGTACTTATGAGAATAAGATATCATGCATTGCTATAAATGAAATATATATAATCAACAAAATTGCTGAAATTTGTGGGACCATAAAAAATTGATCAAAAGTTATTGGTCTGTATCCTTGTCAACTCTTAAATTAAACATCATTTATAAGTTATCTTCATAAGGTTACATTAACATTTGGATAAAAAGAATTTGTTTCGAAAAAAAAATTAGCTTTTGAAAAGTGTTAGATGAAATACTTTTATTATTATAATCATTGTGCCAAGTCGTCAGTTTTTTCAATTCTTAAAAATAAATAGAATTTCTTATAAACATAGTTACTTAAAATATTCTTAATAGGCAAATACATTAAGCATTCTAAAGCATAAATTCTTAAAAATAAATATTTGAATTCTGGCTTTATCTATTGTATATTTTTAAATAACTACCTAAAAATCCATGGTTAATAAAGCCGCATTCTAAAATTATCATGAAACTGACAAAACAGCCCTATCAAATTTTCTATCAGTTGCCATAGATGAAAAGTAATAAAGAATGTATTTCTTTGATGCTATTAACAGACTTTTAGTACAGTGTGATTTAGAATGTTTAATCGAAAGTACAGTCGTTACTCAGTACGACCCCTGAAAAATTTATGTTATGCCAGTATTCAAAACTATAGCAAAATATTTACTTATAAATACTAGGCTTAAGGCTTATTTTGATAATACACTACAAATCTAGTCAAAACTTTTTTTTTAAAAATCTGCCCAAAGCCAATGGCGCTATGCTGGTTACGAATAAGCTCAGAAAACTGATTAGTGTACGAAAAAATAAAATCAATAAATATGCAAATAACATGTATTTTATCTCCAAAATAAACCATCTACTACAACACTTCACGAAATGAGTGAAGATAGTTTTCAGACAAAAAAGATATTAATTAATCCATTAAAATCTTTTAAAAATTTATGAAGACAATGAATGCATACTAAATACTCTTTCCTGGTTTGTATTCAGCATACAATTCGAATTCTCAATAAAGAAAGTAATTATTGTTTCACCAACTTTTTGACCATAGATATTGCCAAAAGCCATCTAGGATAAGAATAGGTGGTCCTGTCACTATTTCTTTATAGAAAATTCAAGATGTTTTACAGGTAATTTTAAAAGAAATAGTGGTTTATCTTTGTCAAAAGAAAAATGTTTATTTACAAACCTCAGAAATGATTTTGAAGTGATATTCTTGGAATAAAAAAAAATTCGGTAACTATATTGGAATGAATAATCCAGTTTGTATGTTCTATTTGGCGTTAAAATAACTTAGCACCTATGTAATAATCAACAGGATTTCCTGTATCGCTCATTCAGGTGTCTGTTTAGAAGAGATTTGGGTTCGTTAACAGACCCTTCGCAAAATATCTTTTCATAAAAACGGACCCTTCACACAATAACTTATCTTTTAATCGGACCCTTCACAAATTTGTTTATCTTCATTATTGTTTTGATGATTGAATAAGCCCTTCCTAGGGGGGAGGAAGAAAGACAGATATAAACAAACTAAGTTTTGTCGTCGGCGGACGCTTCTTTTTTTATTCGTCCGAAATGAATACTCTGCATTCAGCAGTATGGGCTAAATACCAAATATTTGTATGTCTTATCTCTAATTTAGTAGCAGCAATTGCTGTTTATTTTTGAAAGTGTAATTTTTTTTATTATAATTTTACAGTGCTGAGCATAATCTTGTATCTATTTAAAAAATCCTTAAAAATTGTTTTTGCAATAACAGGACCCTATTTGCACAATTCACAAAAGCAGGACCCTGGTTGAAAGAATGTGACTTAACGTTTATTTTATATTCACAAATTACGAGTAATTTTTTCACAAGTTTACAAAAACAGGACATTTCACAAAATTTCTGGATACAACCCTGGGTCATTGTAATGGAAGGGTCACAGTGGGGCTTGTATTAAAGAGCCTAGACTGTATTTTAGTGTTAATATATATATATTTTTTTAAAAAGTGGTGTTGTGCAAAAAAAATTTTTTTAACTTAAGCATTTTTTTTCCCGATGAACAATATAATTATAAAAAGACAACACTGAACAGACTTTTTTTTAACAGTTTTTATTAAAACATCCAAAAGATATTTCAAACTTTGTAAATATGAGCAGAAAAAGTATTTCTATTTCACATTTTAACAGTTTTACATGTGAAGTAATAAAAACATTTACAACACTAAGATTGATGGGACACAATTCAAAACACACACTTTAAATACAAAATAAGTATATAAAAATTTTCTATCACAAGAACTAAATAAGTAGGTATTAAAACATTAAGTTCTGCATAAATATTATAAAAACAAACAGCTGAAACTATCTTGAAATAAAAAACTAAATATGATGGTAGCACATTGTTTAAAAATTTTTTTAAATATCAATAGTTTTAAGGTATATTGTGCATAAAAATATATTTATATCAATATTGTGATAAAATTTTTATTTTGCAATATTTATAATTTTTACAGCTCTATACAATGCAGAAAAATATTTTAAAGTGATTTCTATAGTTTGTTTTTTCCTAAAATTATAGATGCTTCAAGATGATGTCAAATAACTATTATTACATTTTGAATGAAATCACAGTTTAGTAATTTTTCTGTACATATTTTCATTAAAAATTTTCTTTATGTACCAAGCTAATAAATAAAACTTTTTTTTTAAATCTAATTATACTAAATTGATATTGTGCTGTGTTCATAATTGAGAAAAGGCCTTAACAAAATTCTTACTCCAATGCTTTGCAAAAAATAAATATATAACTCAGTACAAAGTAATTTTTGATTTTCAAATTTAGAATATGCATATAATTTCCATTTATTCTTATTTTTTTATTTCATACTTTTATCGTTTCAACTACTTCCGCTTTTGATGTAAAAAGATTTCAGCATCGCTACATCACTAATATAATTTTTTTTATTTGCATTGCGTAAACACGTCAATCAACTAAAATGTAAAAGGACTGGAAATTCTACTTCAATTAAGTATCACAAAAACATTTCTCACATAATGTAAATATTTTCTATAGGTATAAAGATTGTCATTCATTATCCATTAAGTTTGTGTGAATTTAAACTTTATTATTATTTGAATTTAAAAGTTGGCAATATACCAAAAAATAAGACGAAAATCGAAATAAATTTTAGTAGTATGTCTTATTTTCAGATTATTCCCCATATAAAAGTTGTTTAAAGAAAAAAACTTAGTGTAGCAATAAAAATTTCTTCTCTTTATTTAGAAGGATTTAATTTCTTGGAAATAAAGCAGCTGAATAGTTTGCCAAATTTAAAATCCAGAGATTTATAGTTTTTTTTTTAATCCAAATCAATAATTTTCGGGCAATTTAAATTAATTTGTAAAAAATCTAATACTCTATTATTTAATTTTATGAGCAGTTCATCTCTAGATTACAGAAAGTTTAGAGTTAGAGATCAAATTTGATTTGTGTGTGTTTAAAATGTAGAAAATGAATTTTGAGAAAAGTTCAGTGATCAAAATGTGTACAAATTTATTTATTTTACGAATTTAGATTCAATGAAAAAGCTAGTAATAGAAATCCTCTCGCTCGTGTAAAGGGATATACCTAAAATACCTAATAATAATATAAGATATATACTAAACACAAAATACATAATATGTCATGTACATTTGTTATAATCAAATCCGACGATCATTCCAACAAAACAAAACATTAAGAACATATACCTAAAACAAAATAATCACGTAACAAAATACATTTTTAAAAAATGGAAATAGAAATAATTTATTTCAGCTATAAAGGCAGGATTCTCGACCAAACACTTGAACTAAAATTGTGCAAGAGTACAACAAAAAGCCATGAGACCTGTTATATAAACATCTCTAAAATACACTTCCTATATCACATATTCCTCAACCAAGTTTGTTCTAAAATTAGCCTTATGTTCTAACAATAAGCCATTAACCTTACTGAACTTACATCCAAATTATATTTGATAATAATTTTTAGAACAACTTTTCACTTTAATTAAACATACAGTGAATTTCACTGTGTTTCTAATTAAAGTGGAATAGGCTTCATACAAACAGTGTATTAACATACCAAATTCACAGGTTTATGGAATCAGTCATCAAATTTCTAAAAATGACATCGTTAATCTGATAACATAGAAATTTTTTTCTTCAGTTATCAGGCTTACATCCATCTGATATTTTAATCAAAACAACTTACTTATTTAAATTTACTAAAAGTTAAAGAGCAGTTGTGTCAAAGGGTTATAGGCATTGTTTTGCATCTGCTTTTTTAAGAAATTGCTTGTTTAGAAGCAAGGCTCGAAAATTATATTACTTGAAACACATGTAAACATTTCAATTGGGTTCCTATTTTTTTTCCTTTAGAAGTTCAGCCGGGCATGTAACAAAAAATACCAGAAAAATTTTGGATAAAAATCATGAAGGTGTTGGATTTGAGGAAAAAACTACAGCTAAGGGGGAGAGGGTAAAAAATGAAAATTAATTCTATTTAATAAAGCTTTAATATTATTGAATTTAGTTACGTTAATAAGAAAAAATTAAATAAAGTAAGCTTATTCTTCTTTATCCCGTTTATATTTAAATTTTTTTTACCCCAATTGCTGTGCATAAGAAAATAAATAACACTTTGCCAACCAAACAAATTTGTTTGAGTATAAGCTGACCATCCTGCACACCTACAACTGACTATTGAAAAACAAGAAAGTTTCCCACACTTGTCAGCAAAGCGTTATAAATAAGATATAATACCATTTTAAATTAACATCTTCAAATGCATTCTTTGTTAATAATAATATTTTTTTTTAATAATACCTCCTTGTAAATAATACCTAATGTATCTTATTTATACTTAAATGTATTTGTGTAAATGCAGATTGTGTAGTTAATTGATTTTTTTTTTCAAAAGATTAATAGATAAATTCATTTGTTTTTATTAATATGCGATTAAAAAAGATGTTCAGATTTATATTTTGTGAACTAACATGCCTGGCAGGACATGTGAAAATTTAGAAATGTTTTTTGGTCCTGTTTTCAAGAATCATATAATAATATGCTAGTAATTTTCATCTTTATTTAAATAACAAATTTTGATTTAATTACAAAACTTCAGAAAAATCATATGCGGGTGCAAAGGAAGAAGAAGGAGCTCTTACAAAAAACAAAAACAAAAAGACAGGCTTTGTTTGTTTAGTTCTGTCTACGCTAGTAAATAGTTTTTTTTTCTCAGTTACACTAGTAATTAACAAAGAAAAGTGGCATCAATATGTGTAAATTTAACCATATTATTATTAAATTTGAATTAAAACAGTTTCACCGGCTCAACTAAGATTTCTGAGAAATTTGACATTAGATATACACATAAATTTGCTTTAATGAATCCTGTTATATATTTATATTCGTCATGATATGCAAAACTGAAAAAATTCATTTCTTATGCAAAGTATATATTTTTGGTATCAATACCTTTAGGTTCCAAAGCAATCACGTGAAATGGCAGATAATGTATTAAAATATTGAAGGTATAAAGCACAGAGAACATTAAAAAGTTTAAGATGGCTGAAATCTGGAGTGCTGAAATCAGCTATGCTGCGCTTAACTTAAATTATATAATATGCTCAAGGTAATGAAATCAAACAGTGTTATAAAAAAGTCTCACATTAAGAAGAAAAAAATTATCACAGTCAATAGTTCAGACTCAAGGGACTAATGTTTAACTTCAAAAGACCAGCTTTCTGAGAGAATAAAAGGGTAAAGAATTCCTGCCTCCAAGAAAGGGATGAAAATTATAGACATAAAAGTTAATGCATTTATTAAAAATTATTTATAAGGAAATACTTTCCTCAATATAATTACACAATGGGGAAAAAACTAACATCATTAATAGCACCCTTGGAATGATCAAGTAATAGTTAGTTTTTTACAATAGACAATAAGTATGACAATAAAATTCTACATTAAAATTGAGGAAATTAAAAGTAATAAAATTTAATGTATCTGCCAACAACATACAAATATATAAAAAAATATGGCCTCATAAATTAAGTACAAAGTAGACATTTATAAAACTACAAATTCAATGTTTCATAAAATACTAATAATTAAAGAGTCAGTGCAGTGAGTTACCTGTTATCGAAAAATTGAGCAATCTAAAAAGAAAATAGCTGCAAGATAGCAGCTAAATAAATAAATAAAAAAGTATATTCAATACATATTGGCACTACATTGCTTGATCACATAAGTTAAATAAAAGCATAAAAATTTTAAAATCAATAAGTTTAAAAAATTGCATTCTAGATCTTAGATTTTGAAAAACATGTTTAACAAAATGCAAATTTTTTTCCCTTAAATTTATTGCAAATTCTGAGTAATTTTGCATTGCGAAACTCAACATTAAAAAAGATTGTTTACCTCATAATTTATTTTCTACATTTATGCTGTTTTAAAAAGAAATAAGCAACAAATAGAATTTATTTTATATGATAAAAATTTTTATGAAATATATTAGGTCTGTAAAAATATGCAATATTTGAAATAACAGTTACGAAGAAAAATGCTTCACAAATGGAAATACAAATATTTACTAAAATTAAGTAGCAATATACAAATATTTACTAAATTTAAGTAGCAATATATATAGCAAAATAATAATTGATTTCGTTCTTACACATAAAATCAAAATTGAATCCAAACATTTAACGTTTTCATGTATAGAGAAGCCGGAAAAAAAACTTTTCATCATATCTTAAAAAATTCATTGTTTGCCGTTTTATAATAAAAAGATATTCAGTATATTAAAATGCACGAGTTTTAAAAAAAAAAATACTAAATTTATTTTACTGTTTCAAAGAAAAAACATTTTTTCTTATCCAACCAAATAAAGAAAATATTCACTAGATAGATAAGCTGTAAGTAAAAGGCCTTAAAAAGAAAATAGGTGAAAATATACAGGGATGCCATATCTAACTATTTTGGAGTTAAAAAGCTACCATATAACTTTTCGTAAAAATTTATAATTAAGTAACAAGTATACACCTAATTACTCAACTATAAAAGTTTGCATAGATAAATAATTTGAATTCAAAATTCAAGAATGTTAGAAAATGATAGTCATAAAATAAAACAATGAAACATTTTTGGTAATTCAAAAATTTTAACGAATGTTCGGCGTTTTAAAGTTACAAAATATATTTGAAAAATCTAATTTAGAGTTTTACAAATTAATTTACAGCACCTTCAATAGCAATGTATTTTATTATACTTCTGTAATATGTATTATATTCAATCTTAGCATCTGAATATATTTTATGCTGAAAAAGTTATAAACTAAACAAAACTTAGTTATTTGTGTAATAACTAAAATTTTTGTCAATATAGAAATAAGAAAATTGCGAATACACAAACTTCAGATCACAAATTTGAAAATAACAGATAACTAACAGCACTGTAGAACTTTCAAAACATCAATCATACCTACATTCATTAAATTCTATCATATAAATCTGACTAGAAATGCAATTATAAATATAATACATATAAGCACATGTTTATTGCGTAGAAAATAAGAAGTAAAAAAAATCACATTTTTAATACAGTTTTAAAAATTTGACCTATGCCTCTTGACTGCTAAAAGGTTAATATTGGTTTCATTTTTGAATCGTCTAGAATGTCTGGAAAAAATAAATAAAATGACTTTAGAATAAATACTTAAATAGAACAATTACATTGTTATAATTTATTCATACATGTTTTGAAATGATTCTGTTTCTAAAAAAAGAAAAGTATCTCCTCTTAATTTCTCCTGTTGAGTTTCATGTAAAATGTTATCTGTTAAGTTGTCAAAATCAATTTAAAAAGCAAATTTTTATTATTATAGATGAAATTGCACACAATTGTAAGTTTGTATAAAAACTCCTCTGCCATGTTCAAGATAGAGTATGGCCTCCCAAACAATTTGACTACCAAGTAGTCTGGGTTTCGCCTCTATTTTCCAGTTCCTTATTTGTAAGATCTTTGATCAGCGCATAAATGCCACTTAAAATCTTATTCAATGAGGCAATCAACATGTAAGAATCTCTTGAATAAATAATTATTTATCTCCAACATGATATATTCAGATTAACATGCAATTAAAATTAATTAAACAATGCAATTAAATTATTAATAAGTTGAAAAGATGGAACAATATATAACAATATAAAGAAATTTTTAATAGGGAACATTTCTTTTTCGATAAGATCATTTATTTATGAGCAAACTTTGATTCTAATACGTTTGATTGGAAAAATATTTTCAATAACATCTTATTTAAAAAAAAATTTGCAGTTAAAAATTAAATAAAAAGACTAACAAAGTTAATGATTTACTATATTCAAATATGAGACACTGAAATAATTATAAATTTGTGAATGATTTATCACATACCAGAAATTATAGAATGCCAAGGTACAGTTACGTATGTCAAATAAGCATTTAGAGCTGGGGAGCTTGCTCTCTTAGATTCTTTCCAAAAATGATATGCCTGGCCAAAACCTCTCATGGTCCATAGTCTGTTATAACCAGTATCATCAAGCTCTATAATATGGTGAACAGGAACTCAATATTCATAAATAATATTAGACAAATTATTAATAGTTAGTACTCTATACCTTAACCCCTTCTCTGTTGGCGTCGCATCTAACACGTTCAAAAATTGGAGCAATTGAATTTTCCGCGTTACATGCCATACAACGAAGAGAAAAATTAATTCAGCAAAATTGAATTCGTCACCACTCTTTAAATATTGTGATTATTTTCGTATTTCTGAATGTTGTTAAGAAATGGCACAACTAGTCCCATTTTCTTCGCAATTTTTCCAGTGAGATTTCCAGCCTTGAATTGAAATCAAAATTGCTTTGTATTTTCTGTAATTTCACTTTTATCAGTGTTACTGTTGCAAGTCAAAATAGTTATGCTAGTTTTGTGATAAATATGATTTTTACACTCTGATACCCAAGAGTGATTGTAAAGCTTTTTTAACGGTAAGGTTGGGAAAAAAAATTCAAAAATATTTTTAACAGATTTTAATAGTTATTTTAAGCAGATATTTATCTTAAATATCTTAAATCAATAGAGTTAATAAATATGCTATCACAGTGTATTTTTTTAAGAAAAAACTTGGGTGCATTGCACGGATAACTGAAGATCAGCGGACAGGACATCACATATTTCACCACCATTAGGTCAAGCAACAAACTGCTTGCTGACAAAAATATTTTACATTTTCGAATTTAGGATAAAACACAGATCAATTTTCAGCAATAAAAAAATGGGTTTTTTTCGGGTCGGAAATTGGAAAAAAAATCTGACAGAAAAGGGATTAAGAAAGTGTATTTCATTTTACAAGAAAAATGTTTACACATTATTATTCAGAATTTATAAAAGAAATTTAAATGCACTCATAGCTACCATCTCTACTGATTTTACTACAGGATTTTGAGAGATTCTCTGGGTACTGTAGTTTAAAATCTTCATGGTTTTTGAGTATTTTAGAAAAATTTTAACAATTTAGAATCTTTTTGAACAGAATATTCATTTATTTGTCACATAGTGAATTCCTATTTTGGCATCTTAAGAGCAAAATAACACTTTAAAAAATCTACATCACTTACAGAAAATATAATTTACTTTAAAAAAAATAAAGAGTGCTGACTTTTAACAGATACTTTGACAAGTTGTTGTTTTTAATATTTGTAACTAGTCTAAATGAACATGACTTTCAGAAATCAATAGTGTTTGAAATGAAATATTGAGTATAATATCATACTGTTATCGAGTGTTCTTCGTTCGGGTGGAGCAGCGAATTAAAACTTGTTTCACATCACTGTTGATCACAAGCTTGATAATGGTGGTCAACTAAACTAGCAATAATTTGTAGCAAAGTGCACATTAAATCTGCTCTGACTGAAATTCTTTTCATTGGTGAGGAGAGAAAGCTTGTGAAAAGCTATCAGGAACTCTCCTTATGATCTAAGTATAAATGTACATGCCTTTTAGAAATCAACAGTATTTGAAATGAAATACTGAATATGTCCTACTGTTATTGAGCATTCCCCGTTATGGTGGCATAGTCAATTAAATTTTGTTTCACATCAATGTTGATCACGAGTTTTATAACGGTGCCAGACTAAATAACCTGCAATAATCTGTAGCAAAGTGCACTTTAACACTGTTGTGACTGAAATTCTCCTCAGTGGACAGGAGTGAAAGTTTGCGAGAAAAGTTTGCTACCAAGAACTCTATTTATCAAGATCAATTCAAATGCATTTCTACCACAACTGTTAAGACTTAAGAGCGCTAAAAAATGGAGCGAGGTGCTTGGCCATGGAAGAGTGGTGTTTCCTGGTGTTATAAATAATTAATTTTTAGAAAACTTAGTTTAAATCTATTTTTAGAAACAACTGATTTCAGATGTTAAAGTGAATTTTGGAAATTTCATACAAGAAATGTGTAGGTCAGGGATGGCGAACCAATGGCATGCATGCCATTCATGGCACGCGACACAATATTTTGGGCACTCCACTGATCACAATTGTTGTTACACTATGAATTGTTATTACACAAATGTTATTGTGCTATGAAGCATATGTAACAATTAAATTAAAATTCGCAAAAAACAAACAAAATAATAAACAATTATTAATAAAAAAATTAAAAATTAATGCTAAAAAAACAGTTAATAACCATAAAAAACAAGCTAACAATAAATAACTAGCAAAAAAAATCAACAGTCCTGCTTAAACTAACATCTAACAATAAGTTATTGGTCATCTAATCTGCAACAACAGAAGTCACACTGATGTTACTTAAAGTTGAATTATGTGTATAACTGATACATTACAAAATGTATTTTTTTTTTCAATGTAAATAAAGAGTTGATAGTATGAGTTGTTTTGAGTTGATAGTATTTAGTATTATTATTTTCCCAATAATCACGAAGTCAAAATTATTTGACGCCACGTCTATGACCTAATTAAGCAAATTTTTTAGAGAAAATGGCGCGTTGGTGTATAAAGGTTCGCCACCCCTGGTGTAGGTAATTTTCAAATTACAAAGTAGAAGCTTGAATTTTGTTAAAGATAATCATTTTCATTTGTAGCACCTTAATCTTACCTGTAGAGGACTCGCTTGAATAACTGCTTGTTTTGGAATGGTTATCACTATTTGTTAAAACTTCAATTTTTGATTCCCTTCTCCATACAACCCTAGGACGATCTTTTTTATTTAGCCGAGGCTGCTTAGTTTGACTAACTTTCTTGTGCTTTTTAGATAAAACAGGTTCTGAGAAAATAAAACTGAAATATAAAAACATGCAACATGCTTCCTTAAAATAAAAAATAATAATAAAAAAATTTAAAAGAGGTATTTTTATAAAATAAAAAACTGACAAATTTATAAAAGAAACAAGAAGAAAAAAAAAGCTATTTGTAAAATTTAAAGAAAAAAAAAATTTAACTTAAAATAATAAATCAGCAAAAAAAAAAAGCACCCAAATCATAACTAAAAATAAAATAGAACTGCAGCACAAAGTTACATGCTACAACTTTTTTGCATTTAATAATAAAATACTATACTATACTTAACTGAATCAGCAAAATAATAAAAACTTCATTTCCTGCAGTTTTAAAAGGCTATATTAAGAACCATATAAAAGAAAAAACCCTATCTTAAAAACCAAGTTGTGGAAAAAATAAGAAAAATTTATTTCTTCACATTCATCAAATGATACTTAGGGCTAATATAAAATTCGGCATAACTCATCATTGCCTTGAATTTGGTGTTCTTTAATTTCATTAAAAAAAAGTGCATTTATTCAAGGTAGGCATGATTTTTCTCATGGTTTTTACCATCTAAAAAAAGTATTATTTCTCCTACAGTTTTAAATGTTTTAATAAAATAGACATGTTTTTACCATCTTCAGAAAAAATACACACAATCTAATACACTCAAAAATATATTTTTTATTAATAACTGACGCAAAAAAATTCTTATGTATACTCTTACCATCTCTTATATCACCTGCTTCTATTTCATTAATACCATTTGGATAATAATCTATTTCTGTTTCAGACTGCGATTTTTGGGTTTGACTATCTTGACGACCTTTCCAACTTTTAAAATTATTTAAATTAGAGCTTGGATCTGACATACGTCTTTGTAAATAAGGATTATCCTGAAAAATAAACATTCAGATTTTGTACTATAAATACTGATAACAAAACAATGAATTAATTTAAAATAATAAAAATGTCAAATTTCATTTTTAAATATTTTTTTTAAATTTTATCAAGGCAAAGTTTTTTTTACAGAAGTACCTATTTTAAAGACATTTTTTAACAATCAAAATAAACAATCTCTTTCTTTTTCCGAAAAAAAACACAAAAATTTTTCAAAAAGGTGTTATCCATTGAAAAAGTATTAAATTCCATGAAATTAAAGGTCTGACAAATATTGATTAATTTTTCAAATTTGAAGCTTGTTTCTTAATACCTTTTTTTTATCTAACTTATCTGAATTTCTTCTCTGAAAATCCTTCACATCAAATGAAAAAAAAATATGAAAGAAAATTAGTCTTCATGTATGAAAGACTAGACTAGAATTATCCTCTGCTTTTTTTTTCTATTCTCTCCTTTTTTATCAGTGACACTTATTTTAACATTCTTTAACATTAAACATTAACATTCTTTAGTTAAATATCGTTTTACCAAAAGCAAAGCATTTTTGTATGAAAATTGACAATTTTTATTGTATAGTGCGTGTTTTGATTTCATATTACCTTTAAAACCTATCACGTACAAAAATCAACCTTGAGGACTAACAAAAGTCTAGACGCTTCAGCTAACAGAGCTTTTCAATGTGCTAAGATGCAGTTAAAAATTAGAAAAAGATTTTTTATTGCATCATTTGTGACAAGAAAAGTTGTTTATGTACTAAAAAACATAGTTTATTGTAAAGAACTGACATACTCTGTTAAGCATTATTTCATAATTTTAATGGGTAAAAATTAAACTATATCTTGAGTGTTAGATAAGCATACCTCCATATCATCCCAATCATAATCTGTTATAGAGTAACCAGGCTCAGATGTTGGAGTCTCAACACCTGATCCTTTCTGTTTTGTGACAGCCATTTCTGCGTGACCTTTTCCTTTGGGACCCCTCATTCGTACAAATTCTAATCTTTGTTGTCCTTGATACCATCCCAAAGACACTTTTTGAGCAAACCGAGATGACAAACTTGCCTACAAGAATAATAAATAATATATATTACCTAATTACTGAAGTTCATGGCATAAAACTCAAAACATTGATTACAAAATAAATGATTAAAGTAAGTATAGAGTTTAATTGAGCACAAAAGTTGGACAGCTTTATGGTACTGACCAATACTTTAAGATGAAATAAACACAAAATAATAAAATTAAACAATAATTAAAATCAGAAATCTTATAATTTAAAAAAAAAAATTTAACCAAGTAAAAGTTATTTTAAAAAAACATTTATAATATATTTGTTTAAATAAAACATTATTCTAAAAATGCTTTTACAGTCAAACCCCGCTATAGTGAACCTTCAAGGGACCGAAATTTTGGTTCACTNTTATTTAATTCATATTTTAATGGTTACTTCAAATTAAAATTAGAAAATGCTTAATATTTACTTAGAAAGTTATTGAAATCCATTTTAGTAGGATTGCTTAATTTTTTTTGAGTATTTAATATCCTTTTATTGGTTTCTTATTTAACTATTTAAGTTATGTATATATGCGTATATAGAACATGTTTTAAGTCTGTAATCAATACCTGCTTTGGTATAGTATAATCCGGCGCGGCGTGTACGATGGTGCGGCGTGTGCGACGAAATATTTTTTTTTGGGGGCCAATTTTTGAGGGCGCGGCGTGTATACCAGGGCGGCGTTTCTCCGCGAAATTACGGTACCGAATTTTTTTTATTATTTTTCAAAAACAAATATTTAATTTTTTTTCCCCATTTTGTTCAGATTGCTGCCGCGGGCCGCACATCGAGGGTTGGCGGGCCGCATTTGGCCCGCGGGCCGCAGGTTGAGCACCCCTAATTTATAATATATTTGTTTAAATAAAACATTATTTTAAAAATGCTTTTATTTTTCACAATTGAAATGGTTTTCTATGGAGACATCACAGATATGAGGAACGTTCGAAAAGTAACTACTGTTTCATTTTACTGTCATAGTAGCCCCAGTGCCACACTTCAGTGCATGCAAACATGAGTCATAAGTTGACTGTCTGCCCCCTGTCACAAAACGCTTAAGACCAATGAAATGCATTCTGCAACGTGATTTTTGAATGCTAAGGCACCTGAAATTCATCATTCACTTGTAGATATATTTATGGAGAAAATGGTAAGGGTGATAAAATAGTGAGAAAGTCGATTTGACAATTCAATGACAGACAAACCAATGTTCATGATGAAACAAGAGTGTACAAGACAACCTTCTATTGTTATAATAATGGTTTGATTGCAAAGTGAATGTGAAAATTTGTGAAAACAGACGATTCGCAATAAGAATGCTTTGTAGTGAGCTTCTAAAAATTTAAAAAATAGATGATAAAAGCGGTTTTTTTCTTTAAAGAGGGTACAGATAATTAAGTTTCGACTGAGAAAAATGTCTGCACAATATTGATAACTATATAAAAAAATAGTTTCTGAAATGCATTTTCTAGTAAAAATACATTTTATTCAGAAAAAAAATAAAACTTTTTTTTACTTAAGCTTAAAGAAATGGTAATTACTTTCCAAACATGCCTCGTATATAGACACAACCATTAACAAATAATAAAAACTTTCACCAGTAACCTTAATATTGGAACTAGAAATGATATTTAATAAATATCCATTCATTAACATACAACAAAATTTATTAATAGTTTTTTAAGGGGGAAACTATTTTTTTCTAGTTTATTACTTTAAATTCCTTAAAACTAGCATATATAGATAAAAATATTATTTTTTATTTAAAATTAATACAATCACATACATAAGTATAAAAATGTAATACATACATAAATATAAAAATATATTTTGAGATGGGAAGCATACAAATACATTATATTTACACATTAAGTGGCCAATCTGTTATGACCACTGCACAATTTATTCAAATAAGTCATTGTGTAACAGTGCTATCACTACATGGGTAATGTATTAAAAAAATTTTCATCTGCATGCCTTATGACTTAAATTTTATATGCATGGTAATCTGAATAACACATCATAATTAATTAATATTGCAGACAAAGCATGTCCTGTAATGATGTGGCATTTTTAACAGATAATGTGCCCTACCATACAAATAAAATTGTAAAGGTTGAGTTAGAAAATTAGTTCCTTTTGCGGCATTGGCCTACACAAGCCCTGATCTTGGTACTAACTTAAATTTGTGGGATGCAATTCAGAGAGCGTTTCCATATCTAGAGCCACTACCCACCAGCCAAATACTGGAAAAAGTGCTATTCAGATGCCACAATCTAACAACCTCTTGCATTCTCATTTTTCAAGATTTTGAAGTTGACTGTACTGTGTTAAACTCAAAATTGAAAGATTAAAATATTGAATGAGGCTGAAAATTAAAAATAACACAAAAACAAACTGCAGAAGAATTGGAAGCTGGAAAAATATAGAAAGTTTACAACAACCTCAAAATCAGTAAATCCCATGATATATTGAACTAATATCATTTAACCATATTTATTTTTAAAAAAATAACATCCGGAGAATTTTTACTTAATACTTGAATCACAAAATCCAAAAAAAAGGGACGACGAAATCTAGTAAAAAATAATTCCCAACAACAAATCACAGTTGCCCTTTTTTTAATTCCCCAAGCTATCTATTTGCAATAAAGATCACTGTTGTGGTACAAATCAAAAAATTTTCTCGAAAACTTGATCATAACTTTCACGCAGTTCAACATTACAACCCAATTTCATAAACTGAAAAATCATGTAAATTAATTAAAAACACAAATATTTTCCCTAAACAATTTCGTACTAAAGCAAATCTAAATAATGAATATTACATTGTAGACAAATCTTAGTATGATTTATCTCATGAAAAATGTTACTTAATTTCTCCTGCTTTTTTCACTAATTCACATCAAATTTTTTAAATAAAGACAAAATTTAGTAAGTTCTAATGAAATAACTAGAACAAAAATCAGTTGAATAGGTTGAATGGAGGAATAAATAAGAAACTAATTAAACAAATAAGTATTAATAATTCAAATCGAAACAAAAGTAAAAATGTTAAAATTAAAAATAAATAAAAAGGTAGAGAAAGGAAATGTTAATGACATTGCTAAAAGAGGCAGATTTTTTATAAAAAAAAGTAACAAGTAAATAAATCCTAATAATATTACCCTGGCATCATAAACTCTTTTTACAGCCTCATAATGTATAGATCCTAAAAATAAAACTTTTTGTAAAGATCCCTCTTTATCTTCAGCAACTAGCTCCACACAAACCATTTCACCATCTCTAACAAGAATATCTTCAAAAACCTGAAATTTATTTTTCAAATTTAAGTTATTCATCTAAAAATATTTCAAGAAAAACACAGTATAGCTGAATTTTGTTCTATATTCTCTGCATTCATTGCCAAAATAAAAAAGCTTCTCCTCAGATTTTAGATTACTTTAGAATTCAGACAGCCTATTTTCATGGAACACGCGTATCATCCCGTCAACCATATTCTCCTACAGCCTGCCAAAATCATTTTGGTATCTTTAAAATTTATTTTTACTTAGAAATTGATTACAAAGAAATAGACAAAATGCAAATATAACTGATTGCATGCAAAAAATGAGAAAGTATTTTAATTTAAATTATTTTAAAGTATTTAATTTAAAATTAGCAAAAATGCTTGATGGTATAATATACAAGAACCAATTTATCTTTATCTTAATAATATTATAAGTCATAAATTTGCATTTAAGTTTTAAAATTTAGTATTCTTATGCTTACTAACAATGTTATTATTGTCAATTAGAAATGTTCTTTTATTATTGCACGAATTTTGACAAAAAAAGAAACTAAATATGAAACAACAAAACCAAATGAATCAAACACATTAAAAGTTTTTCAAATAAAAACATTTTCAATAGTCAATAGTAATTAAATTTTGTACAAAAGAAATTTTTTTTAATTTTTTGCAATTTCTTACAAGTATTTTTAGGGGGGTGGTAATTACATAAAAAAAAGTCATTCACAGATTTTTTAAAGTATCATACATTGACCCTAAAAGAAATAGTACTGCAATTAAACTTTGATGTTCTGTCAAGAAGAGTGCTCTTTGTAACCTGGAAGTTATACTTTTTTTTAACTAGAGTCAACTATAGTCTTTTATTGAAACTTTTTGTACTTGGGACAGTAAATGTATATGTATAAAAGTGGGGAGTACATACGAAGTGATGTGTAGACTAAAATTTTTAAGTTATTTTAGAAAAATTAACTATGCATATTTAAATAGACAGTTATACTACATCAGAATATTTATGCATTTATGTCTATAACACTTTCATATCATAGTAAATTACTTAAGAAGTTCAGAAATGTGAGTTCGATACAAGAGATGGTAATGACATTTTACCTATATTTAATTTCTTTAAAAATATAATTTAAACACAAAATGCATCTGATGTATATTATTTAACTTCTTGTTAGTATTTTAAGCAAAATATACCACTAAATAATTAAAATGAACATTTTAATGAGAAATATTGCTTAAGGATGCAAAAGTTAACGAATTGAGAAAATAAGTAATATTTTTATTTTTAAAAAAAATCCAAATTAAAATAAGACATTTTATAAGGTGAGAAATTCAATTAATAATTAGTTTAATTATTTTATATTCATTTATTTTTAAGAATTATTTAATCTAATGAGAAACATAATTGTCCTGTAAAAAAGTGAAACTGTAATTAATACTTGCCTCATCATAATTGTCAACTGTAAAAAATATATTAGGGTAGCTAATTTCTTCCATTTCACCTTTACAATCCATGCTGCGCTTACTTGGAGAAGCATAAACTTTCTATTAAAATATATATACATGCATTTATATTTTCTGCATAAAAAGTTATTGTATAACAATAAGAAGTACAAGCTAATTTAAAGAATATAAATTGATAACTTCATTAACTTTTGATATAATCTTAAACAACTTTTAAAAAGACTTATTAATATGACACACCACCAGGGCAAAATCATATTTCTTTATATTAACTATTTACCTATGTAGTAATGAAAATGTCTGAAAATTATTATTGCGTAAAAATCAAAATTCCTAACTAATTTTACGTCAAACTTCAAGAGCGTGAGGTTTTTCTTTAATCCATCGAGTTTGTAACTCAAACTTGAGTCATAATTAATTCTAAGTAAGGTATTTAAAAACAGATACTAATAATAGCTTTCATTCAAAATATAATGATATATATAATTTTAATTGTAATAAACTACAATACTATTTTTAAATAAAATAACTGAGCTAAACTTTTTTTAAATATAAACAAATTAAATTGGTTGCTTCTAAATAACTGTTAGAATAAAAATGATTGGAAACAAATAAAATGAAGTTAAAATTAAATAAGAAAGAGTAAACAATAACCTGTGAATTCCTTTTTAGAATTTGCAGATCTTTTGGACTTGTTCTAGTACATACAGCACAAGTGAGAGTATACTCAAACTACAAAAAAGAACACAGGTAAATATATGATTTAAAATGTGATAAAAACAATACAGTCAAGGCCCGCACTAAATATTTTTTACCTCCCAAAATGTGATAAAATTGCAAATTTGGCGAAAAAAAATTTGTTTTGACAATAGTATAAACAAATGATTTTTTTCTACCTAAAAGAAAAATTTTTATTCCCCTTGTTCTGGGGGGGAAAAGGTCAAAGTGAATCTCTCTGAACTAATCCTGTATTTTACTCGATTACAGTAATTTCCTTTTAATTTGTCCCATAACCAATTCGAATTATATTAAGTCCAGATAATCTAAGCAACAAGAAAGATTATGTAAGCATCAGAAAAACTACTGTATAAAGATCACTTCGTTTATTGTTGAAATTTTTTCTCACAGTTTGTGTCAACAATACAGATTAAGTGATAGCAAGATCCATATTATCAACCAACTTTTTTTACAGAAGACATGTTTTCTCGTGACAATGACATATACAATAATGTGACAATAACATAATATTGCTCCAGGTACATTCTTATCTTACTGCACTAGTCTAAGAAGTTATCAAAAATTAACCCCAACCTATCCCTATTTCTTTTCCCCAAAGACGATAAAACATCTACATTTTTCATCCTCTCTCCCATTCATTGCTTATTGCTCATTTACTCCTCCCCAAATGCAAATTGCTCTTAATTTGAATTTGCATTTAACAAAATAATTTTATTTATAGTAAATTTGTATTTTGAATTAAAATTGAAATTTTGTAAAAATTTTGTAAGATTTCTTTTTAGCTAAGAATTTTGAAATTCGGCTAATACTTTTGATATTTGGCTAATTTATTGGCTAATAATTTATGGATTCTGTACATTAGAGAATAAAAAGAAAGAAATTAGTATGACAAGATTATTAATAAATAAAAACCATGACTACAATGTCATACAACTCACTTGTTGTAAAATCAAATTAAGATACACAGTTTCTTCCCAATCTACATCAGGATCACCAATAGGAAGCTTTTTTGAATCCTTTCTAAACACTTCAATAGCAGTCTGTAAGAATAAATCAGAAAAAGCAATAAACATCAAGACATAATACTTATCTGCTACAAATTCTGTGAAATATAGTTAGTTATATTTCAGTTTTTGTATGATTTTGCAATAGAAAAAACATGAAAAAGAAACTGAACAATCTGGATAACATTCATAAAGAAAAGAAAAATAACTACATATTTAATTTAATTTAGACAAAGTAATCTAACATAATTTTAAAATTTAATAAGGGCTGAAAAAGTGCCTAAGCCACATTACATAATTGCACTAAAATGAAAATTTTTGGAAAATAATTTGCATGGGAAAATTATTTGCAAGACTAAACTTATTATTTGACCAACTATCACAGTCTAATGTTCTTTAGCCGAATTTTTCAAAAATTTATAATTCATTTTCCAAGAAAATAGCTCACATATTATATCAATGACTTGGATTATTTTTCTCTTAAAAAAAAACATTTATTTTTCATAATTTTATCAACTTATTTTTTACAGCAAAAAAAAAAACTTTGTATATCTTTTTACACCAATAGCGGAGTTACATCACCAACTTTTTCCTTGAAGCCTTTTGCACCTTTACTTAATTTTTACCTAAGCATCATTAATGTTTTGTCTTAATGCCATAAAATTCATTTTTTTAAAATAATTTTATATTAACTTTAACCGAGATCTCAAAATGTCGGGGAGGGGGGATAACAAATAGAAGCAGATTCAACAATACAAATTTTGTTTATACAAGCAGATGTTAAAGTTCGAATCCCATTCTTTCGTTGTGGTGGGACATCATTTGAAATAATAATGAAAAATAACAATATTTCATTAATGAGATTATAGTGTTTTCACTACAGCGCGAGAACGCGAGAATCTCGCATATTTTTTTATTTTCTCACATTAATAAATTATTGCCGCGAGAAATTCGCTCATTCTATAAATCAATTTCAAAATTCGCGAATTCCTCGCATTTCGGAAAAGGCTTCAAATTACGCCATTTAGAATAAATCCGTTTCACTTTTCTTCCTAGATCTCTCATTATTTTCAACATCTGCCACATTATCTAGCTTCCCTATTTACCAGTATTGTTCAGAACCTTTTCGAACAACAGAATACAACCACGGAACCCCTTTCAGAAGACATTTCTCTGCAAACACGTGTTTATCGTAGGTAAGGTTTCTTCATGTAAGACGTCCACATTTTTTATGCACTTATGTAAGATGGACAAATACTTTGTAAAGGCAAAATCTTCTATGATGATGCACTAAAAATATTCAATGCTTTAAAAAATAGAAGACGTTAAAAATGTATTATAATTAAAGAAATGTTTTTTTTCAAGAGTTTCTGTGTTTTTTTAGTTTTAAGAAATCTCACTTAACTTTTTGAAATCTCACCCTGTTTTTGAGAATGGGTGAGAAATTCTCACCCATTTTTTTTCTATGATGAAAACACTGGATTATTTTTCATTTAATTTAACATACATTATTCTTTTTTTTTTAAAGAAAAAAGAAAAAAAAATAATTTTATTTATTTTGAATACTTAATTTTGAAAAATAAAAACAAATATTAATTGGTGGATGGAATTCATCCTATTGATCTTTTCTCAAAACTGATTTCAGTCTGCAGAACTGAAGAGTGGTGCACATTATTTGTTACTAAATACAAATGAAATATAAATATTTTAGTTTTTCAATAATACAATTCAAAAAAAAGGTTTCAATAACTAAATCAATAATTCAATAACTAAATCTCAGCTGATTAAGAAAAAATGCTAAATGTAAAAATGTACAGCGATGGAAATGCAAAATTATCTGCTTATTAAGAATATATTTATGATTAAGTTTTAATAAAAGGAATAATGCTTATGACAACAAAAAAAATTACTGTTGAAATAAAGAAGTAAATACAATTGCATATTACATACCTCAAATTTAGGAATATATCTGGCAGCAGTTCTTTTCTGATGTTTACGTACAAAAAACAATAAATCGTCTCTAAACTTATCATCACAATAGTGCAGGAAGTGCCTCACAAATAAATCAGTCCAAAACCTTGTAGGATTTAAAAGAACAAATCCAGATTCTAAAAATAAAGATCATTTATTTGTTACACTACGACAAATTTTAAGTCAAAACAATTATGTAAAGAATTATCATATCCCTCTATTTTTTATAAGTAAAAAAAAAATGTGAGACAAACAATAAGATTAATAAATGACTAAAAATAATATAAAATGTTTTTTAAAACTCGAATCAAGTTTTTAGGAAAGAAAAAATACGAAAACAAAATTTCATGGAAAAATAAATTCAATTGATGACAATTTGATTTAACGTGAATGTTTTTCCTGTAATGCATATTAGTATATACATAACAGTAGGGAACGGATTATCCGGAACGATCGGGACCATCGATATTCCGGATAACTGATTTTTCCGGTTTTCTGAATCGCTACAAAAAACCGTTTTTTTATAGTTAAACCCAACAAAAAAAAAAAAATTGGAAATAATCTTAAAAAGAAGAAAAAACGAAGTAATACATAAATGATTATTTCCAAAATGATGGTAAGGTAAACATCTTTCAAAAAAGAAAGAAAAATCCTAAAATCTTATGAGGAAGAAAAAAACAAATTTTAAAAATGGCGGGAAGACTAATCGAATTTCGTTCCGGTTTTTTGGTTTTCGAGTACGATGGATAAAGTTAGATAGGCGCCTTTTCTAATTACACCTTCCCCTTGTTATAACAACATAAATCACAGAAAATATAACAAAAACAATTTTTGATTAAAAATTGTAAATGTTAATTTTATAAATTGCTTGACTTAATTTAGAAATCTATGACAATATAAAACGATAAGACAGCTATAAAATAAATTATCCCTTGAACTTTATCAACAGAAAGTGTTCAAATTTCATTTAAGAATGCATAATAAAAATATAAAATCAATTGAGGGATAAATTTTTGTTTAAATATAGCAGTGTTTAAGGGGAAAAAATCACTTTTGATGCGGGTTTTTTTTTTTTTTTCAAAACCCACATAAATTACAAAAAAATAATACATCGTGATTATTTTAACAATACTTAGTGATTTTTTAATACATCATCTAATAAAACTATGTATTAGAAACAATGAGAATTTGAGATGACAGCAGCAAAATAAAAGAAGATTATAGAATTAATATTTTATAATATAAAAATTTTATAATATGAAAATCTAACTTACCTGCAAACTAACAAAAAATTGTCAATATAATTGTTACAATTTTTTATAACTATTTCATTGATAAAAATATCAGTACCAAACAGTAACCGAAAGTTTTAACTTTTACGAAAAAAAATATTTTAAAAAATAAATTAAAAATTTAATTTTTATTATTTATTTGATATTGTTGTGTTATCTTAAAAAATATATAACAAATAATATATTTTTATAACAAATTTATTCATACATTTAAAGTTTAATAAGCTTGTTAATATGCAACTGGCAGGTTGATTTAGTATTTAAACAAAGACAAAAAATAGATTTTAAATTATAAAAAAATTAAATCCAAAAAAAAAATTTTTGAAGTATTTAAATGAGTGTTACGAACTCCACCTGAATACACTAAAAAGAAGTGTTTGAAAGTATGCTAAGGATGGAAAGGGCATGTGTGCAGTGCTCCCGTCCTCATTGTCTGTGAGCGTTTCGTCTTCCTTTTTGAAAAGGGAGAGAATAATTGAAAGTGAGAGAAAAAATAGTTTCAGCCATTTCTAAGTAACGAGTTTCAAATAGATCGTCCATTTTTAAAACTAGAAGAAAGTTTTTGATTTTATATCTACTTTTTCATAATGTTCAGGACCACTGTTGTCATCCTTTTTTTTTTTTTTTTTTTTTTNTTTTTTTTTTTTTTTTTTTTTTTTTTTTTTATCTTTCATAGTGCAGATAACTATTTAATCAGTCAGAATATATGTCTGTTTACATTTCATGAGAAAAAAATAAACTTATAAGTTTGGAATATAATTTTCATCAGTCAAAAATTTATAACAATTTAATATTTTACATAATTTAAGCAAAACAAGATAAAAAGAAAGGAAAAGATTTCATTAAAAGGATAGCACCCGGGTATAAAAAATTCTGCATTGCCTCTAAAGAGTTCAAGAGTTAACCGATTCAAGTTGTGCAACTATGGCACGACATTTTTTAAAAATCGAAATTGCCAGTTGAAAACAACAACGCCATAAGAATAATTAATATGATATATATTTGCATCTTAAAATAAGTACGATGATACCTTTGTATAAAAATCTTCATAACAAATCAAATATTATAAAAGCATCAAGAAATTATTCCCCTGATATCGATGATATAATATGGATTTATTCGGAAGTGTTTGTTTTTATTTTGTATCATAAAAAATAAGGCATATGTCTCTGCTGTCAGTTTTTTGAAGATGGCACCAGATTGATAATACTGAAGCAAAATAATGGCAGACTTAGCAACTTCCCACGATAAACTAAAAAAAAAAAACTCAGATAAGGGAAACAATTCCAGGGGTATAACTCTCCTAGCAATTTTACCTTGACCCCAGTTGGGCTCAAAATTGGCTCAATATGGATCCTTTATGAACATGCACCGAGGGTATCTAGATTTTTTAATATCGATCCTTTATAGCACTAATATTGACTTACATATGGCCAATACAGGTACAATAGTGGCTGAATAATGAATATAGACAAATCTATGAAGGAAAATACACCCTTTGAAACCTTATTGAGCCAAGAATTGTGAATATTGGCAAACCTCTGTATGTTTTTTTTTATTTAAAGGTTTGCAAGTTAAAATCGCCAACTACAATCGCCAAGATGTCAATTAAATTTTAAACTTGCAAATTTGTATGTTAAAAAACATGTCGATGTTTGCCCGGGAGAGGCTACGAGCTATACCTTTCGAGTTGGTTCCTTTTGGTGATGTTTTTTTAATTTCTCGCGGGTCGCTGACCGGAAGTTTCCAAGACTTGGCGATTATTCTGCCACAGATCACGATACGAAAATATCCCCAGTAAAAAATCTATTAAGCACGATACTGATTGGCGCGTCAGCTCATGATAAAGAAATATCCTTGTTTTTTTTTTTAGATATTAAAAGTAGTCGTTTGCTCGCTGAGAGCTTTTTTTTATTAGCTTTCTTTTTAAAGTTTTAAATTAGATAAAACAGCGCGGCACCATGAAGCGAAATAATCCGCGAATTTTATATTTCTTAGTAACAATATTTCACGGAAAAACGAAACCAAAACAAGCAAATGTTAAATTATGAATATAACCACTTCTAAATTAGAAAAATATTGACCACTTCAAATTATTTTATTAAATTGAAAAACATATTAAATAAAACAATATGAGACCCAAACGAATTTAATTGTAAAAGGCATAATAACAAATAAATATTATGAATCATCGTCTGCAACTGAGTCGCAATATGAGTCATTGATTGATTTTTATTATACATTTCAAAGTAATTTTTTCTTGAATATAGAATAATATGCTTACCCTCTGCATATTCATATTGAGAAATTTCTCTAATTCGGTGGTAAGATATTTCAGATAGCATATTTTCCAACACAGATACATGACGAATTGGCGTTCCACCAAACGCCATGTTTTCGTTTTTAAATGTAAATAACAAAAATGCGTTGCCAGATTATGATCGGTAAAAAAAAAAGTAAAGCAAACAAGCAGTCGAGCCGAGTGAAACATAATAATACAATCCATTCCATGAGAGTATGGATGACGACCTTACAGATGGCGCTAGCAATATAGTTTATGCTTTGATATTAAGTTTCTAAAATTGTTTTATGGCTCGAAACCTTGAATTTATAAAATAAAAAAAGATCTTATGAGTGATAAAATTGCATGCACATTTTGAGTACAAATATCCAGATGAGATTTCTTCCAGAATATGACTTCTGAAATAATAAATGAATTCTAAACATGTTTTAGAATGTTATTGCTTACCATCAATTTCCAATCCTGTTTTGTTTTTTTTTACATCTTGTAAAGTGGAAGAAATAAATAAGCCAAAATTCATGCCAGAATTCCGTTTGAGCAGACAAAAAAGAATTATTTTTTCTCCTTGTTTATAATTGTTTTGATTTGAGAAATATTTAGTATATTCCTCATTTAGGAAGTCTACGTACTTTTTTTTTTATCATTAAAGTAAAAATATTAATTTTAAAAACATTTAAAAAAAAAAATTATAACAAAAAAATTACCTTATTAAAGAAAGAAAACTAAATCTCAAAAAATTTAAATATTGTCTGATCCCACAGTTTGGATAGCGATACCTCTTATTTTGATGCTTTTGCTTATTCTGACTTAAACTTATAACAAAAATTACTACAAAGCAGTCATAAACCCTTTTAAAATTTGAAGATTTGAGGCGGGTTGAATTTCCTGACAAAAAGTATTGTAGTTTCACTCAATCTCTAAAGAAAAGTTCTTTGGGGCATCTTGAAATCGTATTCATTCAAGCAAAAACGAGTTAAGAATAAAAAACTCGAAATAATTTTGAGCCAAATTTCCAAGAAGTTAAATTAACATAACTCAAATATAAGCCTTTGCTCTTTTCAATACTAGTTTAGAGTTTTGCATATTTAATTTTCGATCAAGTTAATGTTACTTCATCAAAATCCATATGCACAAGAATTCAGTCTTTTATATCAAATATGCTCTTGAATTTAATAAATTATATAATCAACGAAGATTTCGGTAAGCAGACTTTTATCCGTTAGTCAAAATAATTAACTTTTGCTTGTATACTCGGGAACTAGAAATTGACAAGAATAGTTTTGATATACTAAAATACAAAACAAGCATTTGTTAATTAATTGGTGGTAATAAAACTATGGGAGATAACCTGATATAAAACAAAAAATTTAGGGGTCTAGTCTAGTGAATTTTGGAATATCTCAATTGAAAATTTATTTAAATTAACTATCAAGAATGAATAATTTTCAACTGCTAATTTCAAATTCGAAAGAAATCTTTAAAATTAAAACTAACTTCTCAAGTTCTCTAATTTAATTCTGCAAATAGAACACTTTTTAATTAATGTTTTAATAAAAAAATTAAATCTAATTAATTATATCATTTGAAAATTAATTATCATTGAAAATTAAGAGAAGTACAAGAAAATGCAATTTTTTTTTAACATTCTTTTCTGGTGTAGAAAAGTTATTGTACTGAATACTTATTAAATCAGTTCCTTTATTGTACTTAATTATTAAATCAGATACATAAATTCGATTTTTTTTAAACGAAATTTTATTTAAATAGGGGTTTAAAACTTTAGAATTTTCTGACAAATATTTAAATAGTACAATTAGTAAAGTTGTTCAAACTCCACTTGCTCTTCGCTGAATGTTCTAGGGATGTTAACTGAATTTCAGCACTTAAACTCACAATAGAAGAGTTATTCTAGAAATAGAAATGTCAAATAGCATAAAACTAAGAAGAAAAAAAAAGAAAAAAAACTAAAATTTTGTATCTAGTTACACCCTCAACTAAAAAAATATTCAGAGAATAAGTCACATCTAAATTACTACAACTGGCCCTTTAAGTAGGAAGTACTCAAAAGTATGACTTGCGTCTCCGATCAATCAGAGTTCATGTACAACAATTTATTTAAATTTTATATGCTGTTTTAAAATAATTTTTGTTTTCCCATTGATATGTAATTGATATATATATCATTTATAATTATGCTTAACAAATTAAGGTTTCTTTTCTCTTTAAAAAATAATTTAATTAGTCATTAACTAGTAATAGTTGTTTATTTTCACCCATTCGTGCAGAACAGTCTTGATGCTGAACATGGACATAGTTCTGCTTCTGGGCAACTGACATACAAAGAGACAAACATACGGCTAAGAAAAAGAAAAAGTAAACCACAAATGTAAAGCTTTTATACATTTAATAGCTATGCCAACCAAACACAACTATATAATTAATGCTTTAGTGCATTGGAATAATTGTTTTGAGACTCTCAGAATAATGGTTTAAACTGATAACTAAGATTTGTTCATGACCAAATCATAAAGGTACAGTATCAGACATACTTAAATAACAATGAAATATGTAAGCACAAAGGTATAAGTTTGCAGTCAACAGATACAAGAGAAATATGTAGTTGCATTTTTTAAAAAAAATTACATCTATCCAAGACAACACTTGTTTATAAAATGAAAATTTAGTCTATAACTATTGCATTCCCACTTTAAAATTAAAAAAAATTATACAACATTCAGAACTATATAAAATAATTTCATCAGAAAACAAACACTAATTTATAGTTACATTTTATATTTTACAAATCTTATTTTCAAACCCACTTTGCGTATTGCACACACATATCACAATATAAACCTCACCTTTAACCTCAATTATAAAACTCCCCCTTTTTTAGCACCGTGGTGGTCACATTAAAAATGTAGTATGTGAAGCATAATATAAACATGTATGCAAAGCAATATAAGTACTAGAATAGTAGTGAAAATTACGAACAAGATAAAGAGATTGAAAAGTAGGCAAACAATTTTTATATTATTGCTCTTACAAATTTTTATAGCATGAAGTAAAAAATATTATTGTTATTCAAATCAGATAATAACTGCTTAAAAAAAAAATCCAAAAATTTCATTATTCATCATTAAAGAAAAAAAATACATTCAACAGAGCAGCATCTCTCTATTTGAAACAATTCTAACTAAGTACTAATTCAAAATTAATCATAAATGCCTATAGGTTTAAAAGATAAATTTTTTATTACAACAAAATTTTATAGTTCTTTATTTCAATTCTCTTTGTGGGACATATTATATGCATTAATTTCAAAAAATTACCAGAATATTTTCAGTGCTGCCTTAAGCACCCAGTTTTGCAAGGATAAAAGTAATAATAAAGGTACTATAATTATAAAAGGATAAAACATAAAAGTATTTTTTTTTTAGTTAAATTATATTTATAGCATAAAATAAAACTTAAAAGAAATTTTTTTTTATTTTTTTAACACCAAAGAATTATATACACCCTAATCACAAGTATGCACAGAAGATAGTTCTAAAAAAATTCATATGATTTGTTATAAAAACAAATAAAATTTTAAATCCAAGTTTTTAAATTATGAGAAATGAATGGAAGATAAGTAAAACAATAATTAGGGTTGCAATTCTGTTACCGCCCTAACTTTTATGATGATTTCATAAGTACATAAATTCTTTTAACTGTTATATTTACATACCCTCCAACTTATGAGGATTTTGAAAATAATTCTTTAGCCAACCAAAGTAGAAATTTTTAAAGCAAATGGATCTCTCATAAAACTTTTATCAGAACTTAAGAATCTAGCCATATGGCCTGCACTTTTATAAGTAATAGTGGACAAGTTACGTTAAAATTAATTTTTTTTAAATATTAAGACATTAATTTTGCTACCNGCACCCAGTCTTACAAGGATAACTTATAACATAATTTTTTTTTTTTAAATTATATTTCTAGCATAAAATAAAATTTAAAGAAAAAAATTTTTAACACCAAAGAATTATATACACCCTAATCACAAGTATGCACAAAAGATAATTTTAAAAAAATTCATTTGATTTGCTGTAAAAAACAAATAAAATTTTAAATCCAAGTTTTTTAAATTATGAGAAATGAATGGAAGTTAAATAACACAATAATTAGGGTTGCAATTCTGTTACCACACTAACTTTTATGATGATTTCCACAAATAATCAGAGTTATTTCTAAAGTACATAAATTCTTTTAACTGTTATGATTTATGCAACAATTGTTTAAATCAGATTTTTTTTTAAGTTTCTTCTTTTTTTTAAAAATTTATTGCTTAAATTTTAACTGCAACTAATACTTTTAGAAGTTTCAAAATTATGTATAATTGATAATACATTTTAGAGAATAGATCCATAGCAAAATGTTAATTTTTAGAGTATACCAATAAGAACAAATGGATCTTTGTCTCAAAACGTTCCATAGCAGCTTTTCATTGTTCGTAAATGCCTACAAACAGCATTGATGCTTAAACATTGTTTTTACTGCATAAAAATGCCTGAAGCAATTAGCACCCAAATATAAACTAATATAACTTAGCAACGTACTATATTTAATACCAAAAATATGTTCAGTTTAATAAAAATATTAATATTGCATAAAATTAAAAGAAATATTTTTTCCCTCTTTTTTTTGATTTTGTTTTATTATTGCTTATGTTTTTATTTTTACCATGTACATATTTTAATTTTATTATTTGTACCAGGTCTATCTTTTTAAGTATACATGTTGCTTATGTTTTATTATATTTGTTTCCCTCGAAATGTTCAAAATTCTTCACGAATCTTCTGCGAATTTTGGTAATTTTTTTTTTGGAGTCAAACTTGCAACCCTAATAATAACTAATGACTGGCTATGAAATGTTCAACACTGAAAATTTACTATGGGACACAGATTGATAACATAATAGTTAATGTTTGAAGCTGAGTGCTTAAATGATAAAAAAAAAATTTCCTTACAAAATGGTACATACAAGTATAAAGCACAACACCCAAAATTATAGCTACTTCTTATTGAAGAGCACCCTTCAATACAGTAATAATGAAAAAAATTATAATAAAAGATATTTAAAATTTGATTAATTTTAAAATCTAAAAAAAAAAAAATAAAAAAATAAAGAATAACACTGAGAAACAAAATTATGTAAGTATATCAAATTCACAGAACAACACAAACACAGCTTAAAATATTTCTATTCATGTATAAATAATTTTATACAACTATATTTATAGCATGCAAGATCTGATCATATATTTTGTCTAAAATATAGCATTTAATATTGCATTTTGACCAACTAAAAATTAAAGCTGAACTTATAAATAAACTCTCTGGAGTAGTTTTTAACACTCAATTCAAATTTAGTATATTTTAAACTATGTCAATATTGTTTTGTGAGCACAAATAAATTGGGCTTTAACTTTGTTTACAGCACAAATTGTTTTAGACAGTCACCACAATAGTACAAACAGTTACAAGCATCAAAATAAACAAAGAAAGAATGACATGGTTAAAAATTTAGAAAATGGAGGGAAAAAAATACACAAAAGAATTTAAATGATAAAATTCAAAACCTATGGTTAACAACAAAAAAGTAAATATAAAGAAAATGTTTAGATTTAAAACATATTTTCATAACAAAATAAAGCTCTTAAGATACAGCAGCAATATTTAAAAAAATTATGACTGTGCTTTCGTGATGAATGTGTGACCTCCTTCCATTGTTTTTTCAGTCACAAAACCAGTTTTCCCTGATTAAGTAAAAGTTATGTTTTCTACCACTAACTCTCACAAATGTAAAACTTTTGGACAGTTGAAGGAAAAAATAGAACTGAATAACTGATTATTCTTTTAAGAGTAAAGATTTTTTCTAAAAATTTTTCCAAAAAAAAAATATATATATATATTTTTACAACAATTATGATGAAATTTTGTTTCATTTAAATCAAAATTGCTGTTTTTCTTCTGCATAATACCACAAGGAATAATGCATAGCTTTCCCTATTTGCAATTTAGTTTTTAGTAAAATCAAACAAATCTATAATAATAAGTCAGTAATACTATAGGACAATAGGGATCAAATTTGTGATAAACTTTAAAAAGACTATCTAATATTTTATTTTAAGAGCTCTTAATTAAAAAACGGCTAATCTAAAACAGATTGTGCAATCTCAAGTTAAGCTGTTTGTTTTCAATAATCCAATCCAAAACAGTATAAGAAATTTTTGGTGTATTTTACTACTCTACAGCAAAAGAAAAAAAATAGCATTTAAGGAAAAAACTTAATTTTACATTTAAACTATCAAATTAGAATCACACTCAGCAATACATTAACTTCAGAGAGTGTATAAGCAAAACCCTAAAATATGATTAATCAAAACAAAATAACAATCAACTATAATTAGATGTAACTCTAGAATGTTTATTTCAGTATTGCTGCTTACTCTTCTTAATTGCTTACTTAAAAAAAAAAAAACATTCAATAACTAGCACACATTTTTCTTTCGTTTAATTAAGTTTGTAAAAATAAGTATTAATAATACATAATTAAGTACCATCACTGTTCATCGACAGTCAAGTTTTTTAAATCTTCATCATGTTCAATTACAGTGACATTGAGATGTCGTGGATATTTTCAAATCTATACCTGTTCTAAATCCAAGAAATGCCACTGCCTGATTCTGCAATTAAGCGTAGTGGCTCGCCTGGGAGTGGCTATGAGCTTAACCCTTAAAATTTTCCCTATTCTGTAATATTTCTTTAAGTTTCTCACCCGTAACCGTCTTATTTTAGTCAAATTTTGCCAAAAAAATTATGTGCAGGCACTAATAAAGAAATCTTTCCACATTTATAGAAAGACATTGAAATGCCAGCTTAATTAATGGATCAATACTGTAAAAAAAAATACCAAATTCTCACGAATAGTTTCTACATCGTATCTATTTTAACAAATGGTCTAACTTTTAATGTACTGTTTAATAGTCTGGATATATCTATTAGTCTGGACATATAACAGCATATTAAAGGTTAGGTCATTGAACCATTAAGATTGCATCTTTGTATGTGAAAATCCAATATTTAGATCAAAGGTTATTGAAGTGTTTTGTTTAATTTGTGCATTGTACATAATTAAAGTGTAAAAAACGACCATACCTATTGAACTAGTGGGGAAAAAAGAGTTGTTTGAAGTTAAATAGTAAAAAAAAAAGAAAATTAAAAAAAACATAGAATAAGAAAAAAATTTATTTCTTGAACAAAAAGAGAAAATCTTAAATCAAAAAAATTTAACTATAAAATTTTTATTCCATACAACCTAGAATTAATTCTAATAATATTATAATGCATTTTCATAAGTGAAATAGAACAATCAATAATGAAAAAGTAACACATTACCTTATGACATTATTTGCACCGTCATTGACTCAATACCAAAATTTTTTGACGGTAAATTATTTACAATATACAAGTGATAAAACCTAAAAAGGATGAATTTTCCTCATTTCACTATTTGTGATTAAAGGTTGAAATTGCAAATTTTCGTCATGCAGACATATACTTCGTAAAAATAAACAAAATTTCAGTCATACCTAAATTGAGTACCATTAGAGCTGGTAATAATAAGATACAAATTTTTTTATTTTATTTAAAAAACTGAAGAAAAAAAGAAGTTTTTATAGAATGCCTGAACTTTGCTGCTTTCTTTTGGTGAAAAGTAAAACTTTAATGACAAAGAACACATACTTTCATATCATGTTATAAGTACTGTTAGAAAATATTTTAATTTCTTTCATTAAACTTGTTTTTGAAAAGCTGGCACTAATATTTCATAAACAAAAAATCTAATTAGTTAATTAAATAATGTCTTTCTTTAGACAAAAAAAAACATAGAGCAGTTTCAAAACGAATGAAGATACATTTCTTTAAAATACAATGAGAATAAAACACATTTATTTTTAAAAGAATAAAAATCACTATACGGGTTAAAAGAGACATTCCAAAATGATGGTAAAATTTTTCTTATTTAGAATAAACAGCTAGAAGAAAGCCTATTTTATTGGGTAGAGTTTTGCTTGATTTTCACATCAATAAGTATTTTCTATTCTTACAAAATTAAGTACTTTTCAATGTGCGTTAATATGAAAAATTTCTAGTTTAAAAACTTATTCTTAACATTTAATGAATAACATTAAAATCAGAAGCAATAGTATATTTATATTCAGAATATTAGCAAAAAATGAAATATTGAGCTAATGAATAGATGTGTGCCACAAATTCAATAATGCCCCTTACTGATTATATGAGAATTGAAATCGTATTTATCACTACATATCTTTCCACACAAGTTACACTTCCATGGACTATTATCAGAATGAAGACTTCTATGCAATAAATACAAAGTTTGATCTGGAAATATTATCCCGCAAAATGTGCAAGTAAGAGTACAACTTTCAATATCACGAATGACAATATTTTTACGACCGAAGTAATTTGAGATGCTACTGGGGGCAGTCGTAAACGTGGATCCCTCAGTATTGAAAGTTGTTGCTAGATTACTTCTAGAAGCATCTATTCTGTCACCAGGAACTATTGCATTATTTGTGGATGTAGCCCTACTGTAAAATATTTTACGCTCTTCACCATCTGATTGCTCGTTATGAGCACTTCTTTCAATGTCACTATCTGAAAACCTAGCTCTTCTTTCAGGATGACTATGAGCTACACAAGTATGCCTGGAGAATTCTCGGCAACGTTGGCTGCTACCTTCATCGTAAGGCCGGTACCTAAAACATGTATGGGGGGTCCTCCCAACTTGTTGCGAATCAACACATAGTCTGTTTGAGGGAGAGTTATGACTCTCAGAGCCTGTATCATCAGATGATGAATGTTTATGAACCTTTCTTCTACACAGTGTTTCGTGAGAGTTACAAGTAGTTTCAACAACTTCATTGGTAGATAAGTCCATTGTGCTAGTAGGTTGAACGCTGCTGTTCTGGCTATCATCAACTGTAAGCTCTGGTGGTTCTGGTTTAATACACATTCTCTGGCGTATGCGCATTTCCATACGCTGGCAAGCACCATCTTGGCATGTTGGTGGACTAATAACAGTTGAACCAGCTAAAGATGTGACGCAAGTATGTCGATTGTCATCTTCTTTAGCCGGTTCATTGACAGCAGCTGTTAAGTTTTGAATATTTGGAACTGGAGAAGTAGCTCGTCTAATAACTTTAGTGCGACAACTTAAATCTGAAGGTCCGGGCATTGCTATATTATTCTCATTTCCAGATAGAGAATAAATTGGAAAATGAGAGTTCATAAATGAAAAATTTTGAGACACAGTAGCTAAATCTATGGCACCATTTTCATGATGACTGTTTAAAATGTGAGAATTGCCACATAAATCTCTCATTCTATCAATATCAATACCTGGCACATCCATATTTTGTTTCAAATGAAAAGTAGCATAATGAACTTTAATTGCATTAGGAGATGATGCCTTAAAGTTGCACAAGTGGCATGTCTTGCCAACAACAATACCGGCATGTTCTGTTGAAAGGTGTGTTTTTAAATGTCCACGGAAATTAAAAGTTTCTCCGCAAAACGTGCAATGATAAGGTCTTGGCTTAGTATGCTTAGCCAAATGTTCTACAAATTGTTCCTTACGTAAAAAGCGCTTTGAGCAATATTGACACTCAAATGTACGAATACCCTGGTGAACATAAAGGTGATGTCTACGCATATTTGCGTACGTTCTAAAAGTCATGCCACAAGCGTCACATGAGACTGCTCCAATATCAACATGACTATCTTCATGTTTAAGATAAAGTTCAGCATTAACAGTTGTAAAATTACAACCAGGATATTTGCACAAAAATGCAGATTCACTATTTTCCAGAATTATTGGTCCGTTAATTTGAGTATGATGAATCAAGCCTACTGAATCTTGCACATCAACAGCTTCTCTAACAGGTTGTCCTTCATTAGCTTCAATGTTCATATTATCTGGTTTTTTGCCTTCAATTTGTGATTCAATCGTTGAACTATTGGTATTTTCAGTTATCTGCCTTTCAGGAGAAGAACACTGTATTCTCTCATTGCCATCACTATCAATTTGATCCAAAGGACTATCATTCATAGTTGATGGTTCATTAAGTAACGATTTCTCCATACCTGAAAAAATTTGGTATAACTTTAGAACAAAGAAGACATATAATAAAATAAAAATATTGACCAGCATCACTCATCAAAATTAACAATTTTAAAATTGTGGTTATAACATTTTTCATGTACTATTGGATGAAACAAGATACTTAACTACCAGGTTCTGTTGACAATTTTTTTAAAACTGATTGAGGTTTTTTTTTAAAATTAAAGTTAAGCATTTTGTTAACTTTAATGTAATTAAAATTTCTTTCTGATAAGTTAAATTGGTTACAATTTTTTATAGGACACTTCGACTACTGCAGTATTTTAACATACATTAACATAATATTAGTTTGTCATATTAGATATTTAGTAAATTTAGTCTAAATTTGAAGTTAGAAATTTGAATAAGTTTATTACAATGTTAAGACAATGTGAGCTCTCTCCTGGATATATTTAATCCCCTCATTAAAACACAATTTTAATAATAAATTTTAAAAAATTAAGTAATAATTGAACCATTGAATAATAAATTCAGTGATAGGTATTTAAAAAATGAAAAATTATGAGCTTTTTATGAAAGAAAATTCCTATGTACACAATTTTATAACATTAGTTTACTATGCATCAATATCATGCTCACTAACATGGTTTAATAAACTACATTTTTTTAAGTTTTGTGGTCTTTGACGTGGGTAACTTGATATAAGAAAAATGTACCTTGATTACGTATTTTAAACTACAGTACACTTAATAAGTATCATAATTTAAATATTATCATTCAGTATCTATAAAAAAAGCTCATTCAAGTACAATAAATCAACCAATTAAATGTTAATGTGTAATATCTTTTGACATCCATCTCTTCACTCGTAGCATCAAAACGTAAACATATTACGTCATATGACAACACTATTAATAAGTTGTAATAGAATTTATGTCAACAATAAATCAGTAAAAAAAAAATTTGTAAAAAGTTTAATAAATAATGCTATTAGTACATTTTTCAGATCGATTGAATGATAAAACTTTTTTTTAAAAAATGCATTCATAAGATAATATTGAATTGTAATTAATCTTAAGCAAAGAACAAAAAGACATTTATACTAACCCGCTTTTGTTTGTAAACAAAAAGACCCAATTATATCCTACAACAATTTTACATTGTAATTAAGAGAATAATCTTCAATAATAATAAAAGTAATTAGTTATCAAATAAGAACGAAGCCATTTTCAGAAAAAGACAACTCCCCCAGGGGGCGCTATTATTCTAACAAATTAATGAAAAATGGCAATCGATAAATGGGTAATGAGCAGAAACTTGTTTTTACGCATTCCTATTGAAATATTTAAAAAAAAAAATATCGAAAATTTTGAATATTAATTTATATAAATTTAATCATTTTAATTAGAATTTTCATTTAAAATTATCCGAAACAAATAAAATTTGAACATTCAATTCTATCAAATCTATTTTTCAAATGAAGTAGATTAACCTCTCAACACTTTCATGGTCAGCACATTTGCAGACGAAGAAAAAAAAAGTCTTGTGTTTCAGATTGTTTATTTCCAATTTCTGCTTGTGCTTTTAATACAAATAAATGCAATATGACTCAATTGAACTCTAACTCTGTAAACTTTTACAAAAAAACTGATAATGGTACTGTAATCTTTGCTGAGTATTTCATTTTATTTTGTTAATGAAATCTTGCAATCTCTTCGTTTTAAAATCTTGCATAATACTCTGTTCAACAAAATTTCCTCTCATGTTGCACTGTTTATTATAATTTTAATCTTGTATTTTCTATTATGTAAGCTTTGTAATTAAGTGGGGTTTTTTTTGTAATTTTCCCCAGTATTTTTTTTTCTTTTCTTTATTTTATTTTAAAAACAATTTGTGAACGTTCACTTCGTTAAGCGTTAAAAAAATAGTAAAAGAATAAAAGAGTTTACAAATGTTTACATATTTGGTGACTTTCCACTTGCGACCGGCTTACTGAAAAGTTTATTTATTTATTTTTTTTCACTTTTCTGGTAAATGTAGAATTATAAACCTCTAAATAATAATAGTAAAAACTTGATGATATTTATCTTTGGTAACTGTTTATTGAATTATTTCTACTCAAATTAATTTTAATGTTCTGCTATGTTAAATACTACGGCTTCACTGATTTCCTGTCATATTTTGAGAGGAGATATAAAAATATGACCATTTCACTTTTATTCGATTATATAAAGTCCTTTTTATGAAATAAACAAATTATGAAGACCAATATAATATTCTGGGAGAAAGACAAGAATATTTAGTCCAAAAATACTCCAAAGGGAAACAGTTTGCTTTGGGGAAAGTAACTATGCAGTAAGATTTCCATATCATGATCTGCTGTAGAACAATTGGCAACTTCTAGGCAGTGGCTTCTACAAAAGTTAAAAGAATTCACAGAAGTAAACCAACTCAAAGGGTATAACTTGTAACCACCCTTGGGCAAGCATCTACATATTTGTTTTAAAAAAATTGAAAGTTTAAAATCCATTTGACGACTGTAGTTAGATTAAGAGATGGCGATAAGGAAATTCACAATAAGAAATCAGAAAATAATCTTTTTTTTAAAAAAAATAGTTAATGTATGATAGGTACTTTTTCTCTATTACAATATATTATAGTATATTACTCTTATTATAATATATTCTATTATATTTTCTTATTTTACTACAACTATTTTTTTTATGAACATCCATTTTATTATGCCTTAAAAAAAAATTTTAAAATAAAAAAAATTTATCAGAGGTCTGCATTTTGTAGCGACTCTTTGCTTGCACCTGGCTAATCAAAAAATAACTGATTATGTTCTTTAACCACAAACCATTGGTATAACATTTTTCTTTAGTTCATAAGTTATTTGTTTAGACCCTACTCCTTTCCAGTTGATTTACACTGTATCTCCATTGCTCTAATTCCTTTACTAAGCTATTTAATAATTCTGGGCTATGTTTACTCTTATACAATTAAGAAATATAGCATAGAGAACTTTGTGTGGGTATAAACATTGATAAAATATATTAAGCATTGCAATAATTTAGATATTTTGCTTTATTTACGTCTAAATCAGGGTTTAAAATGTATGAATGTATTTACAAATTTATGATTATTTGATGATTTATATTTCTTGTTTTCTTTTAATTTAGATGTTAGTAAAGAGAATATACCAGTTCAGAGTACACGAACTGCAATTTTAATTTTAGTTGGGATATTTTTGCTATCAGTATCAGCATTAGTTTATTTGTATAAATCATTTCCTGAATTAGAGGAGTAAGTTTACAATTTTGATCTTTTCAAATTTGAATGATTACCTTGTGCATCAATTTATTATTCTAATAACAAATGCTAATAAAAAAATAAAAGATAAAATTTGTGCTCTTTAACGTTTGCCTTAATTTGTTTTTTTAACAAATGTTAATGTTTAAAGAACTTATCTATATATTTTTTTAATAAATAAATTATAAAATTTATTTACAATTCAATTTTTAAAATGCTCCAAAAATTGCATCTAAGAAAATTTAATGTTTTGAATATCTATGTAAAGGTATAAAAATATCTAAAAATTATAAATTTAAGTAACTTTAAATTATCTTATATATTTTTTAATATAAGTTTGAGTATGAAAATCTATTTTAATTTAATAGATTTTTTGTTTTCATTATTTTAATATAGTAAATTTGTTAAAAGAATTTTAATCATATTTAAATCTTAAGTAACATTCTACAAAATAAATGCTCTATGTTTAGAATTTAAATACTATTAAGATGTTAATTATTTTTAATATTGGCGAATAAGATCTTAATTTTTGATTGATCTGTTAGTGGCTTAAAGGCTGAGTATCATTTATGTCAAGCTTTATAATGTATTAAATTTTAACTAGAGAACATATATAATAAGTTTCCTCTTGTGCTAAATATGTAATTATTTTCTTTAATGCTTTTTTATTTTGTATTATATTTTATCTTTATTTTTAGAGAGGAAGCACAATATGTTAAATTACCCATGGATATTGAAGATGCAAAAAATTTAGGGAAAGTGCTTGCTCGATATAAAGAACGTTACTACTTCACTGTTTTATTTGCATTTTTCTTAACTTATATTTTGTATCCTTTTATGAATTTACTGTTTCTCTTTTAAAATAAAATGTAATGAAAATAACAACAAAAAAAAACTAAAGTGTTGATTCAGTGGTAGCTTGAAATATTGGTCCCAAATCTTCCTTTTTTTTTCTCTTCGGTTTATTACTGTTTAGCTTTTATTTTTCAATTTATCTTTTAAAAAAAACTAAGATTTTGGAAACTATAAATTTTATTTTTCTCCTTATTTTTAGTTTGTATTATCATCTAATGGATTTCTTATATTCTTTAAAATATTTAGGCATTCCTCCCCTTTTAATTGTGCAAATCTAAAGCTTTCTATGAACACTTAGATCCATTTAAGACTGACTTCACGCAAAAAAATATAGATATTTTTTTTTTTTTAANTTTCAATTTATCTTTTAAAAAAAACTAAGATTTTGGAAACTATAAATTTTATTTTTCTCCTTATTTTTAGTTTGTATTATCATCTAATGGATTTCTTATATTCTTTAAAATATTTAGGCATACCTCCCCATTTAATTGTGCAAATCTAAAGCTTTCTATAAACACTTAGATCCATTTAAGACTGACTTCACTTAGATCCATTTAAGACTGACTTCACGCAAAAAATATATATGTATATTTTTTTTTTTTTAAATTTGATTTTAAAACAATCAAAAAAAATTTTTTTACAGCTTTATCCTTTGTCAATTAGATATTAAGTGCTTTTATGTATTGCGATTTAAATTTTCAACTAATTAGCATCGTGCATACTTTTTAACTATGTATTATCATGTTTTCCAGTCACAATAAGCAAATCCTGTTTAGTTCAATCCTCCAACCGTTGAAACCTTAAAAAAAAAAAATTATGAAATTTCTCTGATTATGCGATATTTTCCCACTGAATAACATGGGTATAGCAATATTTTAATGCAAGAATGCTCGCAGCTGAAAATTTGGGACTATCACTCATAGGTTTTAATGTATGTAAATGATATGTGTATATTTTTAATCCTTAATTACATTTGTAGCTTACAATCTTTTGCTATTCCTGGATCCATATTTTTAAGCATATTATCTGGTTTTCTGTATCCTTATCCATTAGCAATTCTATTAGTTTGTTCAGTAAGTGAGATTTATTATAATCAGTATTATGTTGTATCTTAATTAGCCTAAGTTGCTATGGTTATAATTTTATTTTAATTAAAAAATATATATGACAAAATGGATACTCAAACTTGGATCACATTTTTCCAAAAACTATGTTTTTCAATTGCTCCCAGTCGAGATTTCAGAAACAATTCTACCCATTTCCAATTTTTTTTTTTCAATCCTTCTCTGCATTTTAGTAAACTCAACCAACTTGTATTTTATAAGCTCATTAAATAATATAGAAGTTGTATGACTAATTTCCTAAATTTTATTGGACAAGGTTGAAAAATGAACCGCAATGGCTCAGTGGTTAAGGTACTGAACTGTCATTGAGCAAAACGGTTCAATCCGCAGTAGCGGCTTGAAGTCCACCCTGTTTCAGATCAATGCTTACCAGCTTTGCTGGAAAGTAATAGCGGCCTGTGCGCAGTGCTGACCATATTACCACAATTAAGCCGTTGGTAACAAAATAGTGGAACCTTTAACTCCATGAGTCTCCTGGCCCACAATGAGCTATTGCGGGAATGGATTTCACTTTACCTTAAGGTATAAAAATATGGCTACCTGGAAAACTTAAAGTTTTCAGATTTATATGAGCTGCATATGACACAACTCTTTATTGGTCAAAATAATTTCTCCAACGCTTTGAACTTCATAAAATCCTTTTGAACACTAGTACCAAAAAGGAAAATTTTGAGTATAAAAAGATTCTTGTGATTATGAATTTTTTTTTAACTCATTTATATCCATATCATTGTATATTTATGAAATACAATATTAATCCATTCACTAATTCAGATTAAAGTTTTCCCTTTATTTTTTGAATAATGAAATTTAATTTTTTATGAAATACATGTATCTGATTTATTAATTTAATATCAGCTATTCACAAATAACAAATATTTTATTAATAATATACACCCTATTTCAGTGGCCATAAACAAATCTTGTTCTAATAAAAACATATATAATTGCTCATTATTATTTGCTATTTGATATATTTTACGCAACTTTAAGGAAAATAGACTACTACTTATTTTTAATAAGGTTTGGTTTAGAAGTAACAAAAATATTGGATTTTATTGTCTAGACTTTTTGCTATGACTGCTAATTACAGCGACCTTCCTTCCATGAAGTCCCGTTTTTTATTACACAAATACAATGTTATTTTAATGTCCATATAACAATTCAAATTAAGTTATTTGATTGTGAAGTTTCATATAAATTATTTAAACTATTATTTCCTTTGATGTTATCACATAATGAGTGCAAAACACCTTTTATTTTTTGCTTAATTAGAATGGATGTTTTTTTTATTTATCTTTATCAGCAACTTTGAAAGAAATACTTAATTCTTTCCTCTGTGATACCTTAGCACTATCTATAAGCACCTTGTAGCTGTAGACTTTTTTAAGAGAAACATCTGTTTACTTTTATCCTTTCATTGTAAGGCACCCAGTAAGGGTGATAGGTTTGCTCTTTGCCTTCAGAGGCTTAAGTGAGAGGTTTAATTGCCCGATGCCTGACTGTCTGATCAATCTACACTCTCTAATCCTGTTTTGGAATCCACTTTATTGCTATGTCCCTAGCGTTACAGAGCTGAAAAAGTTCTTGCATAATGTAAAGACCTGCGAATTACTCTAGACATTTGCCCTTTGATTTAAATTGTATTTGTGTAGTGCACAAGTGTGCTAGTTTTGTCTTTGGACCACCACTAAATATTAATCCCAGACAGTCACTAATAGCCCATTTGTGTATCTTGTGCACAGTTAATCTAGTTCATCTTTAATATTTTTTTATGATATTATAAAGAAACAATCACATTTTTGTTGATTCGAAAGCAAAATAAATTTAATTTTAAAAAATCCTTCTATTTAATCCTTTTCAATGTTGCATCTCAAAATTTTATTGTTTTAATGGAATTTCAAATTTGAGTTTAGCTCATGAAACTTATTTTTTAATATTATTGAATTTTGCAATTATTGGATGCAGTGGTAATAAACATAAAATTTAAATTTTATTAATTACTAAATTAAAATTATGTTTTACAAATTTTATTTGACATGTGATTTAAGTTTTTTCCTTTTTTTATGTACTTTTTATTCTCTTTGTATGAGTAAGAAGTTTATAATTCTTGTAGTGTTCTGCTCTTGGAGCATCTTTCTGTTACCTTCTTTCTTCACAACTGGGGAGAAAAATAGTTAAAAGATTTTTTCCTGAACGAGCTGCACAATGGTCAAGACAAGTAAGTAGATCAGTTATTGTAATGAATTTATTAAATCTTAATTTGTCAAAATTTCTATACAAAACTTAATACTATTTACAGGTAGCTGAAATTTACTGAGCTGGTATACTAGCTGAATTTTTTTTGTTTTTCAATTAATCTCAGAATATGTCATATTTAGTCACCTCAATGGAATCTACCTATCCATTCCATAATTTAAACAGGTGTCAGGAGAATTAATTAGTATAATGAACAAGATGTTTCAGAATAATTGGAACGGAGTCTACAAATTTTTGATGACATACTTCCCTCACACATAGTTTAGAATGTAGGATACAAGAAGTAGAGAAATGTTAAGTTAAATATGCGTAATAATTTTTTTTTGTATTATATATTTTTTTGTAAGGAAATAAATAATATAGTAAATAAATTTTTATTTTCATTAGCATTGATTTATTTTTATAGAAGTTTAATTGTCATATATAGTTTTCGCACAAACATTAACAATTTTACTTTTATTTGTTTATTTATCATTAAAACAATTTTGTTTCCTTATGTTGGACTATTTATTGTATGCCATTTCAAAAGAAATCACTGGAAAAACATGTCATTTTAAGATTGATTAATGCCTTATAGTAATCAAATATCCTGCTCATTTGAATACAATTGGCTGTAAGCAATGCCACTCCTTTAATCAGGACTGATCATATTTGCCTGATACCCAAAGCCCTGCAGATTATCACAGCATTTGCAATCTGGGAATTCTTTCTTTCTTTTTAAGGATTAAAAGTAGCTGGCAACAGAAACAGAATTATAATTTCTAATTCTTTCTCTTTCTGTTTCTAAATAATATCTGTCAGCCAAACTTCAAATTTATAAGCCAAAAATATTTATGATTTTCAATATTTTGAGTAAATTATCTTAATTAGAATTATAAAAAATAAACAAAAAAGACGAAAAAATTAGGGGAAAAAATTCTTAATAATTTTCCTAAACTTTTGGGTGGTAATAGGTTGTGGAGAGATTCATTACCTTTTTTGAAAGTATTATTGTATATAATTTCAACTAAGCATAAATTTTTAACAGCAAAAATATTTTTGTGTATAAATTTTATCTACTGTATGATGCAAATTCTCTTATATAAATATAAGATTAGACCTAAATTTTACAATAACAGTCTTTGTCTGCTTGAGTTATGGTAGCAGACAAATTTAAATTGATGATTTTAATAAGCTTTAAAAAAAATGCATTTTATTTTGCAGGTCAACAAGCATCATTCTAATTTATTGAATTACATAATATTTCTACGTATCACACCATTTTTACCTAATTGGTTCATAAATATCACCTCTCCAGTTATTGGTGTTCCTGCTAAACCATTCATACTGGGCACATTTATTGGTAAGCACTTCCATACTTTTTTATTTCATTTCTGTACTTTATTTTTTTCTCGTTACTTCTTAATACTTTTTCTATGCTTATTATTACGTCAAAACCCTGATCATCTAAAGTATCTTAAACTGAAATGTTCATAGGATAATTGAATTTTTGGATTATAAAAGTTCATCAGTGTTCATTAACCTTTTGATGTATGTAGGACACTGGTGGCCCTTTTATATATATATTTTTTTCTAGCACTCTAGTTATAAGCAAGAATATATTTTGGCATTTTGTAATAATTAAACACAGTCTAATGCTTATACTAAAAATATTTATTAGATTATCGGAATCATGTTTTTACTAAAATATAAAAATAGTAATTTGATAATAATTTTTTTTCATCGCTATTCAAAAATTTATCAATAATTGATTTTGTGAATTATAGAAATTTCAATAAAGCATAACTGTTTCTGTTAGATCTGAATGAGTGCAAACTTTGAGCTATTATTTTTTGGAAGTGAACTGTGTTTGGAAGATTTTTATCTTCTTTTTTCTAATTTACAGTTGAAATAACTTTTGAATGTTAGGCAGGCTTTTGTTTTTGGCTAAATATAGCAAATCCGATGCACATAATTTTATTTTTATTATATTTTAATTAATGAATTGGAGGCATGTTTTTGGTTGCTAATGTGTGTGTTAAAATCTATATCTTTAATTATAATTGAAAAGCTTCAAAACTCAGTTAACGGTTAGAATTTTTGGTGAACTGATATTTTAAGGGATTACTTTAAAGAGATGTAATTTTTAAACCAGCCAGTATTTTTTTATTTTTTTAAAATATTATTTTATTTTGGATCTGCTCAAAAGCATGTAACATTTTATAGACATATTATTCTTTTAAGCATTTGTATTCAAAGAAAACTAAATGTCAATCTTTTCTTTTTGTAAAAATTTATTATATTTCCAGGTGTTGCACCACCCTCTTTTGTGATGATTCAAGCTGGTACAACACTTCATCAATTGACTTCATCCAAAGATGCTATATCAGGGACATCGATTTTTATGCTGACATTGTTGGCATTGCTATCTCTTCTTCCAATTTTGTTCAAGAAGAAACTAAGTGAAAAATTGGACTAATATTAGAATATCACACAAACATTTCACTTGTGAATGCAAGAGATATCTGAGAAGCAAGCTTTAGTTAATTGTGCATTTCTTTTCACCATTAAAATGCACCAGCAATCTGAGGGATCAATTTTATGACTTAGAAGAAAACATTCACTTGTTTTTAATTGAATTCGTGAAAACTATTTATTATTTTAGTTTTTTTACAGTTTGTTTATTTGTGATTTTCATAACTGTTAGTTGTTATATACATTAAGTCTCATTTAAAATTGTTTTTTGTTATTTTGGCATTTTTAGTTTTTAAAAACATTTATTTTAATTGGAAAAAAAAAATTTGTAACAACCAACTCAACACTACTGTGATTTTTTAATTACTCTTAATTTAAACAATTTATGTAAGATGGAAAGTAGTTAACAATTGTCTTTGTTTCATATTTAATCTACTAGTATAGATACTTAATCTGACTATTCTTGATTAAGCTGTTATTAATAATTAACAGTAGCATTTGTTTTACATCTAAACAAATCAATTTTCAAATTTATATGATTCACTTAGGTGTTTAGCTATTTAATAGGCAACTCATATAGATTGTCCAATTTTTAAAATCATACATTTAATAAAATGTTTTTTTTATAAATAAAAATAAGTACTACTCTTGTTGAGTTCTATTGATTCACTTTACAAATCTTAGTAAATTAAAGATCAAATCTTAGAATTGAAGATCAAATGAAAACTGATTAGCATCACTTTGTCTCTTTGGGTGACAATTACAATTAGATGTTATTCCTTGATTTTGTTATTTGAGCTTCAGTTTTACTGTTTATTATTTAGTTATATCAGCTATCAATTTGAAATGTCCATATAAAGTCTTTCTGTAATAAATTTTTAATAAATTATAATTTTAAAAAATTATTATATTAAAAGCAAGATAAATTAATTCTTACATTTTCACAATGCTAATTTAAAAATCTATTTAACTTGTTAGTTGATTTTAAGTTTTTTTTATGAATTTAAAATAGGAGTATTTAAGAATCTTAGAATCTCTACTAAAATTATAAAATATGAATTATTCTTACAGTACTGTACAGTTTAGAATATTTTATGGCATTAAAAAACCTATATTGTCTTTAACAAATTAATTGACATTTATTAGATTATATTGCATTAAATCTAGTAAACTTTTTGTAGTAATAAGTATTACTTAAATTATTATAAATCCATCTTAAATTTATGCCTACATGTATGGAAATCTTTTTACTACATACAGTAAACTCTTGATTATCCGCTGGTAGATTATCTGCGCTTTACTTTTGTTCTTTTTCTTTTTTTTGTAATGATAAACAATGATAAACAATGATTTTGTAATGATAAACAACGATTAGAATCTAAAATAAATTCATAGAGATGGAACTATTTTAAGAGTTTTGAGAACAACATACTAGCAAACATTCATATTCGTCGCTCAGGTGTTCACAGTTAATCAAATAATGGGTCTGCATATAAACATTGCAGCTTCAAGTGCAATACCTACTAAAAAGAGTATTGAAAGGGTGAAAATAGGGAGGTATTCCTAAAGAGCAAGAAAACATGAGTTATCACTTACAGCTGTTGAACTACAAATGCAGAATGAAGTTCAAATTTCAATTAATAAATTCTGCACCTATCAAAGCAGTTTCTCTTCCTGGATCATATTGTTATTATTTAAAGCAATGATATTGATAGCAAGTAGAGAAATTCAGTTTTTCCTGCCTTGTCTTCATATAATGAATGGGAATGAATTTTACTCAGTCATTTATTTACTGAACATATAACACATTCTTGAAACTCAAATCAGTTATAAAATTGATAACTAACGAATGAGGGTGGTCCCCACACAACACTTGAACCCTTAAATGAAAAAGAATGAAGCATGGCCTTTAATAAATTATGGGCCATATGAATGGTTTCAAAATTGCAAGTTAGTTTTATTACTGATAAGAGTTTCTAAAAATTGTGTATGTGCAGTAACTCTTTATAAGAACTAATTCAATGATTGTTTTGAACATTGTTTTGTGCACTTTTTTCAACAGTGTATGAACTCCAGAGTTGTGCTGTCTGCTTGTGGCTGTTTTATTTTAAGCTTCCTGCACTCCAACACCAAGAAACAAAAAAAGTTGGCAGACTTTTTCATACAGAAATAAGAAAAAGTAGGATAAGAAAATGTGAAGAAAACTGCTAATAATATTGATATCTATCACTTATATTTTAAAAATTGATGATGCATGTCTTTTTTTAAGTGTTTTGCGGATCATCTGTGCTTTGTGGGCTACGCAATTCCACGGATAATCAAGATTTTACTTTAATTAAAAACATTGCAACTAACTAAACTAATTTATTAAACTATCTATTAAACTTTCTGTAGCTTGTAAATGATATATTAAATTTGTTTTACATAAGATCTATAAAACTTTTTGATGCTAAATTTTTGCAATTGCGTTAAATTTAGACTATTCTGAAATTTTTTTTAATAAAAATCAGTTTTTTAAAAAAACTATGTCGATTTTATGTTTCTCTATATCTGTACTAAAAAAACTTCCTGTATTATTTAAAACATCACTGTTAACCTTTATTAATTATGTTAGGTTGGTAATTTATTTTTAAAAGTAGTTATAAAAATTCAATGTCTAACAAATAATCTTAAGATAATAGCAAATAGTAATTGCTACTTATACATAATATTTCTTAAGGTAATTTCTAGTGTGATTCTCAAATTACAATGTCTAAGAATTTTGAAGTTTTTTTTTCTCTTCTAATGTTTACAAAATTCATTTTTTAATAATTTTTAAAAACTCATTTTGATTGAAAAACAAGTCTTTAATAAGAAAGGAATTTGTATTTTCCAATAGTTCAGTTGGCAAATGCTACATCGATTTGGATTTAGTAAATTTTTTATCTCTGTTAATCGAGAAAATTATTTTTTATTTAAGTAATGAAGTATTCCTAAATGAAGTACTAATTAAGTATTTTTAATTTTACTATATCTTAAAAATTATTAAATTTAGTAATTGATAGTTTATGAAGTTCATAAACTATCATATAGTATAGGAGTTTTATATTTTAGCATTTTTACTGATATGTGATATGTTTCAATCAAGAAAAATTTATTTCAAGATTATAACATGCATAAAAACATAATCTTTTAAAATTAGACAAAAACGTTTGAGGCATTTCATTGTTTGAAATAAATGCATTGAATATATAACTGAATTCTTAATTAGTTAGTTCTAATTATTCTAGATTTCATATCATAACGCTACAAGCTTGTACTAAAAGATATGTGTTTATTTCCAAGTACATACTTTGAAAACAAGCACATATCATCAAAGGATTGGTGCTAGGATTCAACTGAGACAGCACAATTGGGATCAATTTTTTTATTAAAATTATAATTAAAACTATACAATTTTTCTTCTGTGAAATCATCGGACTTTCTCCCAAAATGGGACAATGCATTCCTTGAGAAGATGGACTTTGTCCTAGGCAGCCTTTGATCTGCTATTCTAGTCTCTTGTTTGTTTTCATTTGAAAATTGTGTATGTATCATAAAGTGAATGAAAGAAATTCATCTTAAAATGATAAATTGTGAATAGATTTGTAATGTAACATTAATTTATTTATTTTTTATAATTTAGGGACAGAAATTTATTTTTCCTTTGCTTTATGTTAAGAAAATAATTTCCTTTGTAGCTTCTAACTTGGAAAATTTCTCCATCCAAATTTTTTTCAAATTTGCATTAGTCTTGCTCCAAAAATTTTAATTTTGATGGAATATTAAATTTTGTTTTAATTATTATAGATAAATTTTTATCGATGATAAATTATTTATGCTGTATTAAAAAAAAAAAAAATTGATCATTCTAGGATAGAGTGAAAAAGGTATAACATTATTTCTCAGTGCTAAACTGCACCTTAACGAAAATTAATGGTCCTATCTTAAATATATTAAACATGTTTACATTTTGCCCTGTTTTAAAATTACATCACTAAAACAATTTCTACGTATGGAAAAATTACTTAATTTTCAGTAAATAAAATGTTCTTAGTGTTGTCCCTGTGATATAAATTTTTCTTTTATTTGGATCAGAAATCAATGTTTTGTCTTTTATACTATCATATTAAAAACTTCATTTAAAAACTCTTACCTTAAACTTAGCTCAAGAGTTCTTAAGACACATTTTCAAAAGAACATAGAAAGTGCAACTCTAAAAATAAATTTCCTACATTAGTACCAATTTTTTTTCTTATTTTTTTAAATGTTTTTAATAATTTATTGTGCTTTGTGTCTAGTAAAACTTTAATGTCAATGTTAAACAAAATACACTGGTCCAATTTTGAGCTTGATTCAGTTTGTAACAAAAGAAATAATTAAGAAGTACTGTTGAGTCTATTTCGTTTGAAAATTACGTAGTTTTATAGCACTGCTAATAGACCACTATGGGCAAAATCTCATATCTTTTTTTGTTTTCTCTGTGCATATTTATTTCAAGTTTTGTTGTTATTTGTAGCTGTTAGAGGAGTTTAAATGTTTCAGTGCCGATAATAGGACCTTGCGTGAACAAACATACTTCAAAGCCAGTATAGTCTAGATTTTTGACAAAATTGAGGCATATATTTACCTTTTGGCTGTAAGTCTATTAACAGTGAGCTTCCCTGTGTCACAAAATGAAAAGTTGACTAGTTGTCTATTGTAGATTTTTCATAATTAACATGGTTTTTCAAAGCTTGTTCATCGAGGAAAATAAATAAAGCCACAATTTAAGTGCTTTACTCTTAAAACTAAGCTATAATTTTAAACTATATATACCATCTTGACGTCAAAAATTACCAGGCTTTAGAACAAATAACTTAAATATTTTAATAGTTATTAAACTTATTTAAAAATCCCCGATTTGGCAAAATTTTACTACCTAGAAGAAAATTCTGTTTTTGCAAAATTTTATAATACCAGATAATGCAGCATTAGTGTAAGTTTTAAAATGTTAAAAAATAGACCACAAACGCTTTTCTTTATCATAAAAATGTGGCTTTTCTCCATAGTGACTTTTTGCGCCATTTTCAAAATAAGTTAGGATAAACTCGCTGGTTATAAATAGCCTAAACTTAACCCAACAGTTATGAGTAATTGTTGCAAACTCGAAGCAATTATGAAAATAGCATATTATTCACAAAAGAGTATTTCAAAGATGTAGCCTTTGAAAAACAGATTTGAGACTGTTCTAGGAATCTTTCGTGAGATGAGGTAACTTTTTAGCACATAATATGCTATTTTTAAAACTGATAAAAGCAGTTATTTGTAACATAATATAAATAAATAACTGATAAAACAGTTATTTATTTATAACTATTGGGTAAAGTTTTGTCCATCTTTAGTCTGTGAACTATGCTCAAAATGTAATTATGAAGAAAAGCTTTTTTTTTTTTTTTTTTTTTTTTTTTGAGAAAATGAAAAGCTTTGTGATTTATATTAAGTTGCTCCAATTGCATGATTTGGGTTGATAAAAATATGCAAACATTGGAAATCATTTTTTAGTTTTAATAATTTTTCTAACAGTCTCTTGCAATAATTTGTAATATTTTTAAATATTAGTAGATTTTAAAGCTCAGTGAATATAAGGCATATGGTTTAAAATTAAAATTTTGCTTTGTGTTAAAGGCACTAAAATCAAGTTTTTATTTATTTTTTTATTTTTTACCTTTCCTTGAATTTGAGTAACATCCTTAATTTGAAATGTAGTAGTTATATAGTAACAGTTAGCAACTAGTAATTGTATAATTTCTCAAAACTCCTGCTAGTATATTGCATAACTAAAAAAAATTTCTTAATGTTATTCATGAATTTATAAATAATATGGGACCAACAGTTTGAATTTTATATTTCCTTAGTAATTATTTTAGTTCCTTTTCGTATTCATTAAAGAAATTTATTTATGAGTAGAAAAAGAATCTGTCTTAAAAGTAATATGTTACTCATTGATATAAAATATTCCAATAAATTACTTATTATTGATTTTGTTTCCTTTTGTTTAAAAATTATTTTTTGATAACTAATTGAGAAGTTAATGATAGAAGCTTAAAACTGAAATGATTGTCAATGCTTGATCATATAATTTGTAGTATGACTGTCTTATTAATTATACGCATAAAGGGCACAGTACAAGATCATTATATATATATATGTAGTATATATAAATGCTTCATAAGTTTCAAGAATCGAAAATAGATGAGGCATTTCATAAGTTTCACGAATAGAAAATAGATGAGAACAGAATGTGCAGAAATATCTTATTGCTTACAAGGTAATCATGGTTTGCCTCATTATTATTTTGCCCAAGTATTTCCTATAATTATGTAAACAGGAGTGTTATCAGCAAATTATAGGTTATTGCTTTTAAATATTAAATTGGTGTAAAAGTTTGGGTGATGAACAAAGCATATTTTTTCAAGCTTAATGTTTTCGGATTTAAAAGTTTAAGCTCAGGCATATTAATAATTTATAAAACTTGAATATTTGTTTAAAATGTGTGTTATTTTTTATTAATAAACACTTTATAAAATTCTATTTTGGTTCCATTTTTATTTAAAAGGAGCTGCAAGTTGCTGTGATTGGCTCCTTACCAAATAAAATTTGTTTTTATCTATCGAATCAAATCAGATATGCATACGTTTTTCTGACAATAATACACTTTTAGATTAGATTTCAAATTCAACATTATTTTTACTTTTTTTTTTCTGATGCAGTTATTATTTATCAAAAAAACTTAATATCTCATTGCTAACATAAAATTGAACAATGACTTTCTTTAATAAAGTTTGCAAAATTGCAATTTCTGGTTTTATCAATCTTGATGGATTCAGCGTTTAGTTTTGACGATTTAAATGCACTCCAAAAAGGAAAGTTTGACTGTAGTGGGTAGTAACATAACAATATACATGTTAAGAGGATTATATGTAACTTAATATTTGTCATTTTTTATACTTTATGATGCTATCCCCACAATAGAATTGTTTATGAGATTAAATTTGGATAATTTTAACTAACTGGTTAAAATGGGTAATGTAATGTAACTATTTTAAACTAGCTTAAAAATAGGCTTTATTACTAGTTTCTAAAGCAGAGATAGTAAATCTTTTTCGAATAGTGTGCCAGTTAAATTACATTTAAGGTTTATTATTTTCAAGTGCAGAGTGTGCCACTTGTTATATTTCTTTTTAAGAACTAATCTCTACTTTTATCCATAATTACTAATCCATGGATATGATTTCAATTCAATGAAAAGCATTGTATAACTATACTTGCTGTTTAGTAAATAGTCTGCTTTAAATTTAAAACAAGACGGTTTCTTATGCGGATTATATAGAATTTATTAATGCTCACAACATTGTGCCAATTCACTTGCAAATTTTTTTTATCATTTGTAATTAAGCTTTGATTTTTTTTCTTTGCAACTCATGTCACTCACATACTTCCCAAGATCCTAAGAAAAAGCTAGTTTATCATACGACATAGATTTCCCTAGTTGAGGGGACACTATAGTCAGTCCTGAAAAATGCCAGAATAGTGTTCAATGATTTTAAAGAAATGTTCTTTTCAGTTAATGCATTAGTTTGAAAATATTTGAATACGAACTTTTTGCACTTTACATCATCTCTGTTCTAAAGGGTAACAAAATTTAAAGTTGGACTGTCATTTTGATACAAAACGAATATTTTTATTAAAGAACCAAGCTTATCAAATGGCTTTTGAAAGAAACAAAACAAATATAAAAAAATTTGAATATTTATTATTCAAAAAAAAACTTAAATACACTTGGACAGTAATAAAATATATTTACAATTCAAAAACATAAGTAGCATAAATAATGTTAATTTACTCACAAATAGTCTTTTCATTGTTTTTTTTAGATCCCAAAATAAGGGAAAATTATTCCAGGAAAAGCAATTCAGAATCATAATTTACAAAACTTTTATAAAAAAAAGGAACAAATATTACATAAAATTAAAAAATAGATGGCAAACATTTAAACAAATCACAGAAAACGAACATTTTTCATTCAGAAACATTTACTATCTAAATTTAAGTTTACATTTTTTTATCTTAACTTAAAATTTCATCACTGAATGATATGTTCATAAAACACAAATAGGAATCTAAATTTTAACAAATCAATCAAAAAAATTATCACTATTACTAATTTAGTTAGAGCAGGCTAATTTAGTTTACTTAGTAGTATTTCATTTTGTGTTAATTTTTGATATCAATAGTACAATTTCTTGCCAGTTGCAAGATTTGGATTAAAAAAATATCAAAAAAATTTATACAAAAATAAGACACATAAAGTGATTTATTAATTTTTTACATAGTAACAGGCACAAAGATGCAAACCTGTAGTGAAGCTTTTCAATAGCCCGGGAGCTATTTTACCTCGGAAAATTATAATGATGGAAATATTTTTTTATAATGTTAAAATGCATAATTAAACATTTAAAAATAAATTTCAATATATTTTTTTGCATAAAGATAAGAATTTTCGAAGTTTATAAATATCCAAACAAAAAAAATTTCTTAAAAAAATGCAGAAAAATATGGATTAAAATTAATAGTTTTCAAGACAGTACTAAAAAGGATCCTACACAATGTAAAAAAGTTCACCATAAAACCATATATTGGACTTATTAAGTAGTTTTTTTTTAAAGTTTGTAATCAAAACAATATAGGTTTTGGAAAATCTTGTCGTTTGCAACTTTGTAAATGCATTAGTTTTAGCTTAAAAAGTGCAAAGACGATAACCTATAAATCATTTTATCTACATTATTCAGAAAATTGAAATTTCAGATGTTCATTTACATAAATGCGTTTATCTTACAAAAGTTTTCAAAAATATTATTACTTTTCTCACTTTTAGTTTAGTAATCAGCATTTTTAATGGAAAATTTTTAGTAAATATTAAACTTTATCTAAACCTTTTAGGTACACATCAACCATTATAAAGTGGTAGTTTTATATTATTCTAAAATAATATTTGAATTTTTTCTAGTCGTTTTGTATTTAAAATTGTAGAGTTGATGGCATTAAGAGGATACTGAGATTATTCATGCCTTCCCAAGAGAAAAATAGAATACCAAAAAAAGCTGCCAACTTTTTTCTGTGTTAGAATAGGCCTTCCTTAATGTTCAGCCGAACGTTAATTTATCGCAGGTGATGCTGTGACCAACTCCAACTAAATCCTCAATCTGCAAATTTATTTTGGCCCCTAGTAATGAATTTTATTTAGTGCTGTTATTTAAAGCTGATACTTAAAGTTAAATTATGGGGCAACCCAACCTACAGATTGTCTAAACATGTCAAAATTATCTTTGAAGTTTTGCTCAATTTAAAATTCTTTTTATGTTATAGACATTTTAAATACATTAATAATAGTTGCAATTTTAAAATTAAATCAACTTAAATGAAGTCTTGAATTAAACTGATTTTTTGAGACTCCAAATTTATGAATCTAAGCCGTCGCTTATTTTACCACTCCCTAAGTTGAGCCTTATTTTAAATTGTGCAAAATTTTAAAGCTAATTTTACATTTCTTTTTAAAAAAATATATACAGTTGTCCTATATTTTTTTAATACTAGTAAAGAAAAAAATACAGCTTTATTCAGTTGAGGCAAAAACTAATAATGATAAAATTTATAAATGCCATTAAATGAATTTTCATTTTTTTTTTTTAAATATGTTTCCATAAAAACTAAAGTTAAAATAATTGCTTTGAGAAAAGGGTTATTTTATCTACTCTTTAAATTTGCGAGTTTGCTTATTTTAACTGATTTATGTAATAATTTTTCCACGAAAATAGACATAGTTCTTGTATTAAATTAAAAAAATATCAAAACCATTCCACATAATTTGAAGCTACACACACTTGGCGCCTACTATTTTAATCTCACTTTTACTCTTTGTGCAAAGAAAATTTGTCGTGTGCAATTAAATTTGTAAAACATTCCATTAAATATTCCATTTCAACATTCACTTGGTTTCAATAAGATTTTTTTTAAATTTATTTAAAAATAAATAGTTGCAGAGCTATGTTTTTCGCATTAAATGCATTACGGAGATTACTTATACTTTTTCTGTTCACTCTTTGTTATGTTTATTAAGAGTTATAAGTTTGTTTGTTTTTTTTCCTCAAAAAAAATAGAAGTCCATAAATTATTACAGGTATATATGAATGGAAGGCAGAATTGTGTCCTACTGACGATCTTGCATCTCCAATAAGCACTTCTTGTGATCAATTTCTTCATAATCGTGACTGTTTCTTAAGTTGCGTGGGAGGCCGGAAATGTCAACAAATACCTCGTCCGAGTAAAGGTTTTCGTTCAATAGTTGCGGCTCAAATATGGCAGCGCGTTTCTTTTTTTCCAGGATTTCATCCAGGGTCAGTCTTCTGTCCAAAGTAGCCAGATTGTTCATATATTCGGTAGTGTTCAATCTATCTCTTGAAAACCATCTAGCTCTAGTCACCTTACTGTGATCTGAAAAATAAGAATGAATGTTTGATAAGTAAATTTTAATTAACATGGTATTAATTAACATGGTTTTTCGTAATGACCACCCTTGCTGTAACTGTAAAATCTTAGTCTATTAACACATTAGGAATCGCAACGAAAATGAATATTTCAAGAGAAGGAAAAACAAAATCGCTATCAAAATCTAAATTCTAGTGAAGAAGACGGTGATTGAAAACTTTAAACTCTTTGATTGTCGAAAAAAAGGGAAAGCAGAGTGAAAATGCAATTATTATATTAATTATTAGATACACCGCCTAGTTTAGACAAGCAATCGAACTGCAATCACCTCTTCCTAGTTAAATCAAATTTCTGCCGAGGTGGTTAAAACCACTGGTAGAAACCGGTTAAAACCGGCATGGCAGAAACCCTTTTCTGCCACATTTGTGGCAGAAATTCAGAAAATGACATAAAAGTAAGTACTGAGATTGACATACAATGGATAATTCATAGAAAAAACAATTAAATGTTAAACAAAGTACAATTTATTTACAAAGTTATCACCATTCAAAATCAAATATTACATTGTTTGCACTCTGCAGTAATATATAACAAAAGACAAGTTTTGATGCAGTTTCTAAACCTAAAAAATTTCTCAATTTGCTATGCACGAACGAGAAATTTGAGAAGAATCTCTCAAGTTCAGCAGAACTAGCAGGCATTGCCTTCAGGGAACAAGCAAGATTCGTGAGAAACTTTCATCTATTGCATATTTTTGAAAACTGGACCACCATGTAGCAGCTGGGGTAGTTGTCAAAACTTGACAGGAAAAATAAATTTCAGGAAATGGGGCCGATTTGTTTTATATAAATATTTGATATACTGCACTCTTTATAATTAATACAAACAAAATAATATATATTTACAAACAATGAATTAAAAAGATTGTTACAGTTACATGGAGTTACATTTTTCAGTTTATTTAAACAAAATGTCATAAAGCAATTACTAGAACTAATATAGACGTCCTTTTAGTTTCTGCCAGTTTTTACCGGTTATAACCAGTTTCTGCCGGCAGAAAGCTAACCCTGATTATGTTAGAAATAGAACAATTGGCGATCGAAANATGTAGCAGCTGGGGTAGTTGTCAAAACTTGACAGGAAAAATAAGTTTCAGGAAATGGGGCCGATTTGTTTTATATAAATATTTGATATACTGCACTCTTTATAATAAATAGAAACAAAATAATATATATTTACAAACAATGAATTAAAATGTTTGTTACAGTTACGTGGAGTTACATTTTTCAGTTTACTTAAACAAAATGTCATTAAGCAATTACTAGAACTAATATAGACGTCTTTTTAGTTTCTGCCAGTTTTTGCCGGTTATAACCAGTTTCGGCCACTGGCATGGCAAAAACCAGTTTCTGCCGGCAGAAAGCCAACCCCGATTATGATAGAAATAGAAAAATTTTGGAATCTTTTTTTTTTTTTCTTCGTGATATTTGTATTATTTCTCAAAAATTAGGCTATGTATTAAAATACTGAATTCAAGTAATTTTAATGAAGAATTTGTAATTATATAACAAAGACATGACAAAAAAATTTATGATTACATATTTACTAACAAAAATATTTTTACATCGTACCGTACAAAGTAACGTCAGTTTTATTTATTTTATTAGTTTTATTTTACAGAAGCCGCTGAGGTGTGGTAAAAGAAAGAAATAAACAAAGACAGTTTAGTTTCTCCTTTTAGCCAATTTTCGAACAATTTTCATCCTCAGGCAGGATGTGGTAATAAACTCACCTTTCCCCTTGTAGACAAGTAAGAAAACACGGTATTTCGAGTTCAGAACGTTTTTTTGTCGGAAAAGGTAATTGGCTAAACTTATTGCTTGAAAGTAAAAGCAACAAAATGATAGATTTGAAAAGCAATAGATACTCAGACCCCTCCCTCCTAAAATACGGTATAAGGAGAAAGATATTAATAAAAAAATATACGCTACAAAACACCAAATTCTACAACCTTAACAAAACCACTGAAGTTCATCTTTATTTTATTTTATTTTATTTTAAAACCGTCGTTGAACAACCGAAACTTACTTGTTGGGTTCCAGATAGTAAATACTTCAATTTTAAAATATTAGTTGGTTTTAAATTATTAAGCGCATTTTAAATCTGATGTTTTTCTGTTTATCCAAAAATGTTTATTTATCATCTTGGTAAAGGGCCACATTTTGATTAAGGCTCTTCAAATGCTTGGAGATATTAAAAAAAAATCTGCATTCGACTGGTCTAATCTGATTTTGTAAATTAAATATGTTGTTGTTACTTATTCCACTTGGCCCAGAACAATGCTAGACCAAGTTTAGAAGGGGATTAAGTATACACAAACTGATTACCATTTAAAGGTATATTCCCCAATAAGTAATATAGTGCATAGAAATCCGATTGTTAAAGTGTCATTTCTTCTTTTTGATGGTTGTATAGAACAAAACTGCTTTAATGTTTAAAAAATTAGTTAAGTGAGCTTTAGCAGTTATTCGAAATAATAATTAATGATTAACACAGCAGAACTTCAAATTAATTCACAAATTGTTAACAAAACCTTTATAATTGGGGAGGGGCCTTCAAATATCAACACTCATTCCTCAGAAAAAGGAAAAGGAATTCTATTTAAAATAAACACTTCAACCGGACGCTTGTGACACTCAGCGGGAGACCTTGATGAACAAGGATATAAGATGACAACCCAAGAATATAAGCGAAAGAAAAAAAATTTATCAGCAGTAAACAAACGTCATTCCCCCACGATCAAACATGACTGAATCTCAACCATCGCTCCATTAGCCACAGCTCGTCCTAAGAAACCGATCGTATTACCCAGCTTTTTTCTATTCCTTTTTTACCCTTTTAATTTAATGGCACGAGAATTAAGCAGTGTTTATTATCATCTCTTCTCGAAGAGATAAAATAAGAAATATTTAAAAAAGAGGTCACGGTGGCTGTAAGGTCAATGAGCCTTCGAGTGTAAAACTATTTGATGAGCAGTGGAAGTTTCAGTAAGTTTATTTTGTTGGAGGGATATCGTCTGTTTTTGCTTGTCAAGCATAAGCCTGATTTTTTAACCCTTCCGGCAGATTCCAAAGGAATGCAGGTTACTCTGTCAGTGATGTTATGTTTTTGTTTTGGAGGCATAGAAAAGGAAGTGATATGAAAAGAATATAGTGTAATATTTTCCAAAATTAAATTTTTGGCGGGCATATATATATATTTAAATTTGTTAAATGTTTTCGGGCAAATTATTAACCCTAATTTTTGTGCAAATGACTAAAACAACTTATTGGGTTAAGTGTGAACTTTTTAAGGATTTTCGAGCATTTGTAGGAAATGAAATAGAAAACTCATTTTAGTAAATACAAGTCCCTGATGCAAACAAGTAATTTTTTTCTTCGTTTTCTTTATTTATTTTTTTTTGTTCCAGTTATTAAGATAAAAAACAATGCTGAATTTCCTTATCTAAAATATACACATTTTATTTGATTTTTCACTCTTGTGTGCTATTTAGTCAATCAATAACATATAATTCAATGCTTATCGAACCTTTCAATGCTTATCTAACTTTTTTAAGCTTTCGATACGCATTAGAAGGAAATTAAAAAGAAAGAAGCCTCAAATATGATTCAAAACTGAAGATGCCGAGTGTACAGAACGAAATTTTCCTTCCGTTCTGTAAATAAAAATCAGCTTACACTAGAAATACGAAATGTTCTCTATATATAAATCACACCACAATACCTTACATAATTATGTTAGATGATTAATGGTTTTTACTTATCATTTTTAATGTTTTTCATTCAAATAAAACTTCGTTAAATTTCTAACAAAAGAAAATATCTAGTTATAAACTTGGTTAGATTTAAGAAAAAAACAAAACAAATTTAGCAAAAAGCTTATCAATGCATGGAATAATGAAGTTAGACCTGGCGCAGCAAAATTTAAATCCATTATATAGTGATTGTGCAACATAATTTAAATCGATAAAAAGTGAGCAACCTTTTGAGGGAGAAAACGCATTTTTTTTATGCGTTTCTTGTTATTCAACTTTTCCAGCATACTAAAAAAATATGAAAGGGGGAAAACAATGTTATTTATCGGCGGACTATGGGATTTTTAAGAAAATATCAAATTTTTTTCCCATGTAAATCTGAGTTAAATCTGAGTTAGGACACTTTAAAAAAGACAATTAAAAATAAAAATATAAGCCTAAGTTTTATTATTAATAAACATTTTTATATCCAATCATTTAAGTTTCTTACAAAATTAAAACAAGTCAATTGAAATATTAAATTTTAGATCATTTTTAAGCAGAAATAAATTTTGCTTTTGTTGAAGTCATCTGCATTAGGATTGATTCTTAAATTTGCTAACACAATTAGGAATTTTAGATGCATATTAAAGGAAATTTTAATTTTATTGTGTTTACAATAGAAATAATTAAATCCCATGCATATCATGATCATAAAAACTTACAGCAATTTCTGGAAACCTAATTGCTTATTCATAAATGTTTCCAAAATTCAATATAATTTGAGAAGTCAAAATTTGTATGGATTTTGACAAAGTTCCCGAAGTCGGCGGCATTATTACTATTTATTTTATTTTTTGTTCTTCAAAAGTATTTATTTTATTTTTTGTTCTTTATTTTTCAAAAAGTATTCGCATGCGAGCCGCAGTGGGTTAGGGCAGTGTTTCCCAAAGTGTTACGCCCCCAGGGGTACGGGAATAGTTTAGCGGGGGTACGCGTTCTTATGCGAAATATTTTGCAACAAATGAAAATTTCAAAAAATTTCATTTAAAAACAAAGCTAGACATGAAAATTTAAGATTACGTAGATTAAGATTGTTTTCCCTAACTGTGTTACATTAAATAATTGATTTCTTCCTATGTAAATCTGAGTTAGGACACTTTAAATAAAAAACAATAAAAAGTAAATGTATAAGCCCAAGTTTCATTATTAA